AGCTTGGCGGGGAGAGTTTTGCTGTTCTGAAAGTAATACAGTAACATTCAACATGCTAAAACTTCCAAGATGATCATTGCATCTTTAAATTCATTTTTTAAAGGACCACAGGAACACATTTAGGCAGCACGTTTCTAACGAATTTCCTGCCTTCAACAGTAGATTTGAAAAAATTATTTAATATCTGCATTGGTCTGCACTTTTTTTTATTTCTGTGTATACATAAAAACTGACTCTCATTGCATTGTTCCAGCTTTTACATCATTAATGCCAAATGCAACTGATTCTTGCGTGTTTGTAATCGATTGCAATTCTCCAAGCATGAATATACTGTCAAATGTATCACTGGCTTCTCACACCAACCCGAGATTCTGCTTCACAGTGCTGAAACACCAAGATTTTGAGACATTCTTTATTTATTTAATTGAACTTTCCTAAAGCTCTGTGGTCAGGAAATGACTATAAGACTTTTTGCCCAATTTAAATGGCAAAGATCTGACCCACTTATAGCGTCTGTAAAGCACCACACTGCCATAAAAGCACCATTTCACTTTCAATGTAGCGAGTTTATGAGGCCAACAAACCGACATGTTGTTCAGTTTAGCCTGTTGTGGCTGTGGAGGTGTACGTGTGCACTGACTTTAGTTAAAATCTGTTTTCATGTTCCTCACATGCAGCTTTTCAACTCTTTCACTCGCTGTAACATGCATTATAATCACATTTACAGTTGTTTTTTCTCAATGGATGTCTGCCGGGTTGTTTTTTTCTCCCAGGCTGCTCGGCAGTTTTGCCCCCATCACGTAGGTCACTACCTGGGCATGGATGTTCATGACACTCCTGAGCTGTCTCGTTCACAACCGCTGCAACCTGGCATGGTGATCACAATAGAGCCAGGTGAAGATCACTTTTATTCAAAAACAATTAATGCTGCATGTCTGTTTTAAAAAATGCTTTTTTTTTACTTTTGGATCATCAAAGAATGCGTCTAGCATTCAGTTTAAAAAAAAAAAAGCTGTCAGAAAAAAATGCATTGGCTGGACTAGCTGAACTAAAATCATAATGAGATCAATCATCTGAATGCATATTGGAACACACTGCACCGGGCACAATAGATCGATTTGTTGCTTACAATCAGAGCGATGTAGTCTTGTTTTGCACTTTGAGTCCCATAAGAGATGTTTTGAAAACTGCACTTGTTGAGGACATTCATACAGCACCATGTTAGAAAAATAAGGGTAATAATACTGATAAACCGCAGGCCTGTATCTTGAATGCACTGTAATTACCATTGGACTGTGGCATACTGGGCAAACATTCAACTTCTTAGCATTTGAGCTGTACTGCAAAAACAAAACAAAACAGAAACTCTAAACTCTCATCTCTTGCTCCTTTCACCCAGGACTGTACATCAGTGAGGACGACAGCTCATGTCCAGAGCAATTTCGGGGTCTTGGGGTGCGAATTGAGGACGACGTGGTGATCCGAGAACACGGGGGACCCCTCGTTCTATCTGCAGACACCCCAAAAACCATCGCTGAGGTGGAGAGAGCTTGCGCGCATGGAGAGGACTGAAAGGAAAGAGTAAAACATAGCAAGTCCTTCTAGAATGACACTGTTTCTCCCATCTTTTAACACCTCCGCTGGTAGGGTTTTCTGTAATAGTCGACTCGGGAGGTCTGGATCTCACAGAACTTGCTCCAGTTATGTATTAAATCTGGAGGATTAAGAGCTGGACATGTTGGGACAGCGTGCAACATCTCCCTGATAGCCAGTTGGGTCGTGTTTTGTATTTGACATGCACAACTACACTCTCAGAAAAAAGGTACAAAAACTGTCACAGGGGCGGTGCCCTTTCAAAACGTACATTTGTACCCAATTTACCCCCAAAGGTACATATAAGTACTTTAAAGGTACATATTAGTACCTAAAGTGTACATATCATGACCTAAATGTACTAATGTATTTTTATCTTTTTTTGTACAGGTACCACCCCAGTGACAGATTTTTGTCTGAGTGTGTAAGATCTAGGATGAGGGTTTTATAGGAGACTTCAAGTGAGTTCAGATGGAGAAACAAACAGGTTACTATATGATTTAGCAATGTTGAACAGTTTGTTTCTGAGATAATTTATCTGTTTCACTGTGAGAGGCTCATTTTGTGTTTGTCTGCTGAGGTTTTTATTGTCATAAATGTGTTTTTTACTGTTGTCAAAATAAATGTCTAGTTCTTGATTTTGTTGCTGCATTTCTAAACCACATAAGTCACTGAACAGATGCAAAAATTCATTTTTTCCCCCCAATACATATTCTAAGTACATTTGAAACTTTTAATCACTCCAATAACACACAGATGAAATGTCTAGTTCTTGATTTTGTTGCTGCATTTCTAAACCACATAAGTCACTGAACAGATGCAAAAATTCATTTTTTTCCCCCCAATACATATTCTAAGTACATTTGAAACTTTTAATCACTCCAATAACACACAGATTATCTGATGTAGTAAATAAGTTATACTAAATTTGCTTGGTTTTAAGTCACAGTGGTTTACTTCTAGAAGTCAAAATAAATTAATTAAATCAAATTAATTAGAAAAAAATAGGCTAAAAGTGATTACATTTATGCTGAATGAAGTCTAAAACTAGCATTTTTCACAATACATATAGATATTAAAATAGTACTCTAAAACCTCAGTAAGGTTGGAAATGGAAAAATTCTAAGGACATCAGAATTTGTGTGTTGGGCTGCTGTATTTTTTGTGTATCTAACCTAATAAAACTAAATATATACAGGTGCATCTCAATAAATTAGAATGCCATGGAAAAGTTCATTTATTTCTCAAATTGTGAAACTTGTGTATTAAATAAATTCAATGTACACAGACTGAAGTAGTTTAAGTCTTTGGTTCTTTTAATTGTGATGATTTTGGTTCACTTTTAACAAAAACGCAGCTCACTAGATTTTGAGACACAATTTCTCAGCTTAGATGACTTGCAATGCATTTATGCCATTTTTTTTTTTTATGTGAGCTGACTTTGAACGTGCCAATGAGGCCCAGAAATGCTATCTAGCTAGGCCACTCACTAGATATTGAGGTTTTTGAGGTGGATTGACTCTGAACAGACTTATGATTTCCCATTTAAGGCCCGTTCACACCAAGCACGATAACTATAAAGATAACGATAAAGTTCTAAAAATCGTTCTCAGTATTAAAGAATAGCAGAGTCTACACCACAGCTATAATGATAAAGGCACAGAGAAACAATATTGTTGGAATCATTTTCAGAACGATTTTTTCCAGCTGATGAACGATATAAACATTGACAGCCAATCAGAATCCATCCTGCTATCACCAGCTTGAGAATTTAAAGCGGCAGACGAGTGTGCACTTAGAATAAACAGACAATATCGTTCGCTGGTGTGGACGCTAATATCTTTATAGTTATCGTTCTTGGTGTGAACGGGGCTTTATGCTATATGGTCAGCTCCCTGTGTTTTGTGCGGAAACGCTCTCTGGTTAAGCCGTTTCTGAGCTGATATCCAGAAATGATTTCTAGGTAGGCAGCTCATTAGGTTTTGGAGTTTTTGAGCTCTAATTGACTCTGAACATGCTTATGTTACCAAAAAATGCTAGGTTCCTAGGTTTGGAGTTTTTCGATCTGAGCTCACTCAGAACACACTTAAGGTGTCCAAAAAAGCAGGCCTAGGTAGGCAGCTGACTAAAATTGAGACATATTATCTCAGTTCAGGTCACTTGCAATTTACGGCCATGCTGTCTTGGAAAGCAACTTGATGTTTTTGAGCCGAATTGACTCTGAACATGTTTATGCTGCCCAAAATGCTGCTACATATTCAGTTCCCTTGGTTTTGAGACACAATGTCCTAGCTGAGATTATGCTCAGTTACGTTGTTGCCAGTTGCTGTCTAGTTTTTGAGCTGAGCAGACTCTTAATGCGCATACGACGTCCAGGTAGGTAGGTAGCTCACTAGGTTTTGGAGTTTCTTTAGCTGAATACACTCTGAACATGTTTATGATGGCCAAAATGCTGCAACATAGTCAGTTTTCTTGGTTCCCTGCTGAAAAAAACCTGCAAAATCCAGCCTATGCTGGTTTAAGACGGGCTTTGGCTGGTCTCCCAGCCTGGTCTTCCACCTGAAGAAGTGGTCAAACCACTCTAAAATGACCAGGCTGGAAGACCAGCTAAAACCAGCCATCCAGCTTAGGCTGGTTTCAGCAAGGTTTTGAGACCCAATCTCTCATCTGAGATGATGCCTAATGCAGTTATGGCAAAAATAATCCTAGTAAAGCAATGCTTCTGAGCTAATGTGACTATGAACATGCATATGACGTCCAAAAATACTCTAGTTTGGCAGTACAAGGTCCAAAAAAAATAAAATAGAAAAGTCACTGCTTGTTCTTGACTCGATCACTATTGCACTTCCAATAGGGCACCTGACCCCTGGGCTTCTCCGAGGAGGCTGACTGTACACTCTTAAAAATAAAGGTTCTTCAAGCGATGCCGTAGAAGAACCATTTTTGGTTCCACAAAGAACCATTCAGTCAAAGGTTCTTTAAAGAACCATCTCTTTCTTACCTTTTTGTAATCTGAAGAACCTTCTTTCGCCACAAAGAAGCTTTTGTGAAACAGAAAGGTTCTTCAGATGTTAAAGGTTCTTTATGGAACCATTTAGACAAAAAGGTTCTTCTGTGGCATCGTGAAGCACCTTTATTTTTAAGCGTGTGCCTCCAGCTAGCGAAGCCAAGTGAAGCAATATTTTGCGAAGCAAGTCACCAGGTGGGCATCATTTCACTACTAGTGAGTCCATCATCAGATGATGCTGGACCGCGTCTCGCACACCGCCCAGAACAGTCCGAACTCCGAAACAGCACTGTCGGGGAAATCCAGATCGCCATCTCCCCCTCCACCCCCCCCCTTTACTAATGCTACCGCACCTCCAACCTTCCCTCCCCCCAGCCAGAGGAGTAGAAACAACAAGCCGCCATTTTGTTTGTGCTGAGCGAGTGAAGGAGGCAGGAGCGACCGAAAAAAAGACACTCGCGCGACGACCACTGCGACTCTGAGCGCCGCCGGCTCCGTCCTCGCGGATCCAAACCGGATAAAACACAACCCGCGCGATTAGCGGAGGGAGATGATAGATTCTCCCGTGTGGAAATCAAAGAGCAGACTGGCTTTTCCTTTCGTTTACTGATCTTTTTTTTAAACGAAGCGAAGAGGCGGAAGAGAGCAATACATTTAAACGAAGGGAAGCTCGTCAGGGGAAAAGGAAAATACCAGCGTCACGAAGTGGGAATAACTGTTCAATTGCATCGCCGGTTGCTGGCGGACGACAGCGAAAGTGGGGAAAATTGCAGGAACTGTGCAAGAGAAGGGAGAAATTTAAAAGGGATGAACGCGCAGGGGGGTTCACGGCATCACAAAGCCTATGAAGGGGGTTTGAGGACCCCCAGATTTTGGGGGGTGCAGCTGGCAATATCACCCGGATCGGCAGATGCTTCAGCGCCGAAATATTACTGAAGCCCACGTCGTTTCGGTTCATTCGGTTTTCGACCCACTGCTGTTCCTCTCGCGCTTGCTTAATGCTCCGCAAGGCTCTTCGTGCAGTGACAAATGATTCTTATTTGCTTGATGTGAAATAGACGCATATTCATTGACCAACTTCACTTGATTCCCATTCTTTAGCCCGTGCACAGCGGACTGCGAGACAGCATCTTGCACTTCAGACGAACTACCGATTGCGTAGATGTCCTGTCCATTACACAGACGCTTTTGAAATCATTTCTTTGCATGCACGAGCTGTGCGCAGTGCAGGGTGGTCTCGTGAAGCAATGGTCAGAGGTTTTCTGCAAACACTTTGAACTCGTGCACTGGACACATTCACACAGAGGGCGCACGAGCCGTATTCAGATGTGAACGCACAATAAACCGTTCAACTTGTCACTTTGAAGTATTGTTGCAAAATAGTAAGACACGGACGCTGAAATATGCAAGTTGTTTGGAATCATCTAAAGTGGTAGCTCGCGCATGCAAACTGAAGTCATTACAGTTCTTGGATGCACATTTAGCGTCTTGTTTATTCTGCAATTGAGGATGAAAGGAAACTTTCACGTGCATATGGTTGTTTAATTCTATTCCCATTTCCAAGTATTTATTTGTTCTCTCCATCCATCTTAATGACTTGGGAGGAAATAAAGACATCGATGAAGGAGGTGCAAACATCTGTGTCGATCTGAAGGAGCACGATGGACTTTTAGTCTTCGAAATAAAGTGATGCAGGCTGAGAATCGCACATGCTAATAATGCGAAGAGACATAATTCTGAATCTTAGTGTTTGCTCATAAACATTGCATGAAGCCGCACCGGAGCGAGTTCGGTTTCTCGTACACAACGCCTTAAAAAAAACACCAACACTTCAGCTCGCCGCCGACAATGGCGGAAAAGACGGATGCAAGCAGCGAGGATAAATCTCGGGAAAATTGCTCAGTCGCCGAGGAGGCTACGTGAGTTTGCGGCGAGCTTGCATGACCGTCTGTCCCTCCCTTCACCTCCTACATTCGGAAATATACTTTGAGGAACTAAAGACTAGAAAATCTTAAAAGGGAGCATTAAAGGTGGACTGAACATTGAAGCATTGCATTGCATGCATGAAAGGGAAACGGGAATCCGTCCGGAGCTCGTGAACGAGGAGAGATTTCATTTGCACATCGGCTCGCGACTGCACAGGAAGGGCTATCCTACGCGGGATATATGCTTTAACACTAAACCGGAGGAAAACTATGGCCGATAATGTGCTGGAATCCGGTCCGCCTTCAGCTAAGAGGCCTAAATTGTCTTCCCCGGCTCTGTCGGTCTCCGCGAGCGATGGAAACGGTAAATAATAATGTTTCACGCGCTGCGGTGTGCGGGCGAGTCTCGCGCCTGCACACTGCCGCTGCTTCCCTCCCTGTATGGAGAGAGAGAGAGAGAGAGAGAGAGAGAAAAGACATTCGACGTGTGTTTGTAAGAGCTTTCTTTCGTTGTTTTTGTTTGCTCGCATCGTCCCCCGGTATTTAAATCGCTTAGCAAGATAGCTAGCAGGCTAATTTGCTCCGTGTTTTCATTTGAAGTTGACGAGGTGTGTTACAATACTGTTTGTGTGTGTGGTCTTCTGAGTGTGCAAAATAGTATGCAGTGTTGTTCCGGGTGTGCGTTACACAAACTTTTCGCTTTGTTCGTCGTTATGAGATGTCGAGAGCTGGGGTTTGCATTTCGAGCTTGTCAGGAGAAGGAATACTCGACAGGAACAAGTTATAAATCACGTCGGTTTACTGACACGCGGTTGGGAGTGAAGTCTAGAGCACTCTGGGACGCCAGAAGTGCTTCTTTTCAAGTTGGTTTATATGTAGTGCGTACTTAATAGTTGACAAACCAGTGCGTGCAAGTTTCTAATCAACACTAAGCAGTAGATGCTACTTTATTCGTCTGGTCTCTCTATGTTTTAACTAGCTTAATATGACTTCCTGTTTGATTAGATAAAGTGTCCAAGACCCTTCTAAAACCAGCTTGACCGGTTAAGACCAGCAAACCTTTCTGGACTGGTTTAAGCAGCTTTTTTTTGCAGCGTGTCTAGAAGTGAAAGCCAGGTCATATTGTCTGAACTCTAGTGGCTCTCCAGTACAGGCTTTTAAATGGCTGATGCTGATATCAACATAACAGATGGTATAATTTAAGATAAGTTCATGTATAAAAGAGGAATTTGAATCAGCACTTTGTTTCATACAATATTTATTTCAGTAAAAAAAACCTTGATAACTGTAAACAAAACTGTAAACAAGGTTGGGGAAATCGGGGTAAGTTGTGCCATTGTTTATGTTGTCACCTAGGCAATAAGAAATGAATGTTTGTACAACCAATACTTTGAATTAAATCCCTTTTTTTCATTTGATCTGCAGTTACCTAAAGATACACACAAACTAGCCGTAAGAACGTTATTTTAATATTCAGAATATGCAAGTAAAGTGAAAAAAAAAAAAAAAATTCCATTTTTTTTTGAAATATTCTATAATGTTGACGAGGTGTGTTACAATACTGTTTGTGTGTGTGGTCTTCTGAGTGTGCAAAATAGTATGCAGTGTTGTTCCGGGTGTGCGTTACACAAACTTTTCGCTTTGTTCGTCGTTATGAGATGTCGAGAGCTGGGGTTTGCATTTCGAGCTTGTCAGGAGAAGGAATACTCGACAGGAACAAGTTATAAATCACGTCGGTTTACTGACACGCGGTTGGGAGTGAAGTCTAGAGCACTCTGGGACGCCAGAAGTGCTTCTTTTCAAGTTGGTTTATATGTAGTGCGTACTTAATAGTTGACAAACCAGTGCGTGCAAGTTTCTAATCAACACTAAGCAGTAGATGCTACTTTATTCGTCTGGTCTCTCTATGTTTTAACTAGCTTAATATGACTTCCTGTTTGACTAGATAAAGTGTCCAAGACCCTTCTAAAACCAGCTTGACCGGTTAAGACCAGCAAACCTTTCTGGACTGGTTTAAGCAGCTTTTTTTTGCAGCGTGTCTAGAAGTGAAAGCCAGGTCATATTGTCTGAACTCTAGTGGCTCTCCAGTACAGGCTTTTAAATGGCTGATGCTGATATCAACATAACAGATGGTATAATTTAAGATAAGTTAATGTATAAAAGAGGAATTTGAATCAGCACTTTGTTTCATACAATATTTATTTCAGTAAAAAAAACCTTTTTGGTTGGGGAAATCGGGGTAAGTTGTGCCATTGTTTATGTTGTCACCTAGGCAATAAGAAATGAATGTTTGTACAACCAATACTTTGAATTAAATCCCTTTTTTTCATTTGATCTGCAGTTACCTAAAGATACACACAAACTAGCCGTAAGAACGTTATTTTAATATTCAGAATATGCAAGTAAAGTGAAAAAAAAAAATAATTTCAAATTTTTTTTTTTTTAGAAATATTCTATATAATGTAAATAAAAGGGGGGAAAAAAACATGGCATAAAATTGGCTGAATGCTGTCACTTTTCTCATTTGCGTCTCCTTAAAAATGTGCATGCATTTAAAAATTCTCCTTTAAATATAAGATCATTTGATCTGCAGTTACCTAAAGATACACACAAACTAGCCGTAAGAACGTTATTTTAATATTCAGAATATGCAAGTAAAGTGAAAAAAAAAAAAAAATTCCATTTTTTTTTGAAATATTCTATAATGTAAATAAAAGGGGGGAAAAAAACATGGCATAAAATTGGCTGAATGCTGTCACTTTTCTCATTTGCGTCTCCTTAAAAATGTGCATGCATTTAAAAATTCTCCTTTAAATATAAGATTAAATAAAAATGACTCATCTATGCACAAAAAGGGTTGTATGCAGACTTCAAAACAGAACAAATGTGTGAAAAGCACTTCTGTAAATCAGCTAAGCGTGTTCGGTTGTTGGTCTATCACCATAATCTTACATTCAAATCCAAATACTGTCTGATTAATTGCTTGGCTGATATATTGATCTATTACTAATGTGAAGACTGCACTCAAAAGCTTGCTTACTTCATATTTAGAGTATTTAGCATTTTTTAGTCGTTGGTGTGTTGCTGTTATCAGGACCTGCCATTATGTAGGAAACCCCCCCTCCCATTTTGTCCCACCGCTTGTCCATTGTTATGCCATGTGTTTTTTATTAGTATGAACCATTAGGACATGCACACCGGCTATACTGCTCTCCGGTGAGCCGATAATCTCAGTCTTTCTCTCATCACTGGAGCTGCAGTAAACTGTTGAACGAGATTCGTTCTGCCACGCTTTGGTCAATTTGTCTAGATTTCTTGCTGTAGAGTGATGGATCAACCCATGCTTTGAGGAGGCCGACTAACCTCCCGATGTATTGAAATTGCAGATGTGTTGTGCACTTGTTGTTATGTTTTAGTATTACTTTATCTCATCAGATTAATTCCTACTAAAAACTCTAGTTTTGATCTCCAGCAAACTTTAAAAACCTTATATAGCCTAGGATTTTAAATGGCTCTTTTATGCTATTTCAACTTGTTATCCACCAAGGAAGCTGGCATGGCGTTAAAACACCAACCAACCAGTTCAACCATTTAAAAACTGGCAACTTGGGTAAAATATGGTTTCTTTTGCTGTGGCTTTGCTGGATACGTCTTGTTTTTTGGACATACTATAATTATTCTCTGATGTACTTCATTATGAGTGATTTTTCTGTGAGCAACAACCTGATTAAAAATCTCTTTTCCCTTTTTTTTCAGATTTTGGCTCTCTGTTTGACCTGGAGCATGACCTCCCAGACGAGCTCATTAACTCCTCCGACCTGGGCCTTCCTAATGGGATGGACCCCAGCCAGTTACACACCAGTCTGGGTGGAGGAGGGATGTCGGGCTCTCTGGGCGGCTCGGGCCAGGACACAGCAGCCAAACACAAGCACCTGTCTGAGCTCCTCCGCCCTGGCGGCCCTCCATCCACCTCCATGGCCGCCGGCAACCCCGGTAATGTGCCCTCCTTGGGGATGATGGGAGGTCTGAGTGGCACCCCGGTTACTCAGGGACTGGGTGGCCCTCAACAGCAGCAGCCTGGCATGATGCCGCAGCCTGGCATGGTGGCGGGACTGAACCGGGGCATGATGGGCGCCCAGAAAGGGAACGGACAGCCGCAGAGCATGATGGGAGGGCAGATGATGAATGGTGCGCCTAGAATGGGCTACGCCAATGTGAACATGAATGCGGGCATGGTTGGTAACGGGAACATGCTGCCCGATGCTCTGCAGCAGCAGAACACAGGGCAGCAGACGGCACAGGCAGCAATGAGACCGCAGCAACCAGGAGCAGTGAACAAGGTAATGTGTGAACAAGTCAGTGTGTCAGTATAATATTTCTGTGTGTTTGTACAGTTTAAAATGCATTCATGCATTTGCAAAAGGGTTTTGCTTTAAGGTTAACTTGAATTTATGTTTTAGATCTCATGATGCATCTATGAACTGATGTGTTTTGTGTGAAAGAGCTATTTAATTTGGGGTCAGTAAGATTTTTTTTTTTTAAGAAATCAAATTTTTTTCATCAAGGATTAAACTAAATGTAATATAATGTTATAAGAATTATATTTTGTCACCTTGGAATTATAGGGTTCTTCTATCTGACATTTTTGTCAAAATTTAGTTATTTACATATTTTTATTCTGTAACAACTTATTTACATTATGTGATTTTTTTGTGTGTGTGTACATTGTGTTGTGTAAATTTTGGGACTTTTTATTAAAACAAAACAAAAAACAACAAAAAGATTCTATCTATATGGAATGCAAAAACTTTGAAGCTCAATATCTCCATGTGTGAACAAGTCAGTGTGTCAGTATAATATTTCTGTGTGTTTGTACAGTTTAAAATGCATTCATGCATTTGCAAAAGGGTTTTGCTTTAAGGTTAACTTGAATTTATGTTTTAGATCTCATGATGCATCTATGAACTGATGTGTTTTGTGTGAAAGAGCTATTTAATTTGGGGTCAGTAAGATTTTTTTTTTTTAAGAAATCAAATTTTTTTCATCAAGGATTAAACTAAATGTAATATAATGTTATAAGAATTATATTTTGTCACCTTGGAATTATAGGGTTCTTCTATCTGACATTTTTGTCAAAATTTAGTTATTTACATATTTTTATTCTGTAACAACTTATTTACATTATGTGATTTTTTTTTTTGTGTGTGTACATTGTGTTGTGTAAATTTTGGGACTTTTTATTAAAACAAAACAAAAAACAACAAAAAGATTCTATCTATATGGAATGCAAAAACTTCTCAGAATACAGGCAGAACCTTATAATTCCAAGGTGGCGATTTAAAATAAATGCTGTTCTTTTGAACTTTGTTCAAGTATTCTGAAAAATAAAAGTATCACGTTTCCTCAAAAATATTATGCAGCACAACTGTTTTCAACATTTGTAATAATATGAAATGTTTCTTGAGCAGCAAATCATCATGTTAGAATGATTTCTGGAGGATCATGCGACGCTGAAGACTGGAGTAATGATGCTGAAAATTCAGCTTTGCCGTCAGAGGAATATTTTACATTTTAAAATATATTAAAATGAAAAACAGTTATTTAAAATTTTTATATTTCACAATGTTTTCACTGTATATCTGATTAAATAAATGCAACTTTGGTGAGCATAAGAAACTCAAACGTATAAAAATTGTACCGCCCCCTTTTACCGCCAACTTTTGAACAGTAGTGTGTGTATGTATAGATTATATTTAACTTTGATCTAATTATTAATTACAATAAATATTAATTAAGTTTTTTAATTAATTTAATATTATTTTCAACAAACATGAGTGTTGCATTTCATTAGACAAATTAAAAAATTTAAGACCCAATGAAATGAATAAATAAAGACCATTGGCACGTTTTAATTTTTAAAATTAATTTTATTTATTTTTACAAAAAGTGCAAGCCCTTTTAAGCCCTTCTGTCCCAACTTCCTGTTTCAACAGTTGTCAGACTATTTTATGGAGAGAACAAAAAGCACAATGAATGTTCTATCAGTCCCGGTCCCACACTTTATGCTCAAGTTGCTTTAGAGAGAAGCTAATATTAGAAATTAAAGGTCAAACAGAACGTTCTCAGGATTTATGACTTTTAAAGGCCACGTTTTCTTATTTTCAAACTTTATAACTTGAATAAAACGACTCGTAGTGTTTATCGTTGGTTGCTTGGTTTAAAAACGAAATTCTGAAAATTCATTTTTTTCATCGTCGGATCAGACAAATCTGACGACTTATGTTCTTATGACAGCACACTATTCCCCTCCTTTAAGAACACAACCTTTTGTTCAGTTTTTGTCTAGTAAGACTGTTGTAGAAATCAGGTAGTGAAATAGACTATTCAAGTGAAAGAATAAAGATCTTGTGGTGTTTCTTTGGTTTGAATGAGACGTTCAGTGATGTGATCGTTCACACCAAAACTGACCTGAGTTTGAAAAACCTTCTCTACTCCCTCATGCGAGGAACTGTGTGCACCATTTTGTTGATTCACAGGCGATTGCACAACCTGGACCGCAGGAAATGGGCAAAAAAAAGAGGGAATGACATTTTCTTTTTTTGTTTTGCTGGGTTCTTCTAGATTTTTAGCAGCTGTTTTGAGGTTTATTTTGCAGAATTGATACCACAGTGTCTCTGACATTAATACGTATGCGGTGAGGAAACGATGAGAACGTGAGAGTCGAACAGGCTGAAAGATTGATTCTCATCTATTGATCATTTTCTTGTTTTGCTGTTAACGTTCTCTCAATTTTTTCTAAGCTCATCTTTGATGGTTTATGATTCTGCTCAGGATGATGGATCAGATTCTGTCATAATTGAAACCCTTGAGACTGATATACCAGCTCATTTTCATTTTTGATCAAGAGTTCTTTGTTTTTTTTTGTTGTTTTTTTTTCTCTCAGATGGGAATGATGGGTGCTCCAGGACCCTACGGCGGTTCATATGGTCAGTGCGGAGGACAGTCCCTTGGGCCTCAGCTCCAAAACAAAGCGGGTCAACCCAACAGCATTAACCAGTTCAACATAGACAAGAAACCTCAGCATGGGCAGAACATGGTCGGCATGGTGAGAGAACTATACGGAAATTGTCATAGCGAACCACGTGCACACACACATTCCCTGACCCTCTCTGACTGAAGGTATTTAAATCCTTCTCTAACTGGCCACCAAGAGCCTTCTGTTATCATTTCCCCTCAGAGCTCAGCCAGTGGTTTATCCCACAGACACGGAACCTGTTGATTGATTATTCATGGGTAGTCACACAATTTTTTTCCCCAGATTTCTGCACAATTTGAAAGCCCATTATTTATGAAATTCTACACATCAATAACCCCATTTTCATTTAGTTTTAATCTTGAAAGTGCTTTCAATAGTGATGCACTGCAATGAAAACTAGCTACTGGAAATTCTGGACTCACTGAACTGAAAGACAAAATCAAAATGTTTTTTTTTTTCCCAGTTAATGTGTATATAAGCAATTACACCAATTTACGTAGATTAGTGTGACCTTATATCTAAAATAGTAAAAAAATGTGTATATTTTTAGAATAAACTTTAAGACACAGCTCTTGCTTTTCTGACATATTTATGTGCAGAACACAAATAACATTCTCAAGCTGATTATTATGCAATAAAAATGTAAAAATTTGTATTTGCAGCAGCAAGGTCTTCTCAGTAAAATTTCATGCTGAAATTCATCTATATCAAAGTTACAGTTATCTGATATTTTAAAGTTGCAGTTTCTTGCGAATACTTTCGACAGACAAAATTTTGGTCCCATCCCTAGTTTTGAATAAATGTTTAAATAAAATGTATAAATAATTTCTGGCTAATTTGCTTTTCTTGCTACAAGTAAGATTAAAGTATTCTCAATAACACATTTGACCATATTAGAACTATTCTGCAGAATCTATACATTCATAATCACAGTTTTCAACATTGGTAGTAATGTGTCTTGAACATCAAATCAGCATATCAGAATGATTTCTGAAGGATCGTGTGACACTGAAGACTGGAGTAATGATGCTGAAAATCCAGCTTTACCATCAAAGGAATAAATTACATTTAAAAATAGAAAAGTTATTTTAAATTGTAATAACATTTCACAATATTATCTTTTCTTCTGTATTTTTGATCAAACAAATGCAGCCTTGGTCAACATAAGAGACTTCTTAAAAAAAAAAAAAAAAAAACATACCGTTCCCAAACTTGAATGGTAGCAGGAAATTGTCATAGCGAACCACGTGCACACACACATTCCCTGACCCTCTCTGACTGAAGGGATTTAAATCCTTCTCTAACTGGCCACCAAGAGCCTTCTGTTATCATTTCCCCTCAGAGCTCAGCCAGTGGTTTATCCCACAGACACGGAACCTGTTGATTGATTATTCATGGGTAGTCACACAATTTTTTCCCCCAGATTTCTGCACAATTTGAAAGCCCATTATTTATGAAATTCTACACATCAATAACCCCATTTTCATTTAGTTTTAATCTTGAAAGTGCTTTCAATAGTGATGCACTGCAATGAAAACTAGCTACTGGGAATTCTGGACTCACTGAACTGAAAGACAAAATCAAAATGTTTTTTTTTTTCCCAGTTAATGTGTATATAAGCAATTACACCAATTTACGTAGATTAGTGTGACCTTATATCTAAAATAGTAAAAAAATGTGTATATTTTTAGAATAAACTTTAAGACACAGCTCTTGCTTTTCTGACATATTTATGTGCAGAACACAAATAACATTCTCAAGCTGATTATTATGCAATAAAAATGTAAAAATTTGTATTTGCAGCAGCAAGGTCTTCTCAGTAAAATTTCATGCTGAAATTCATCTATATCAAAGTTACAGTTATCTGATATTTTAAAGTTGCAGTTTCTTGCGAATACTTTCGACAGACAAAATTTTGGTCCCATCCCTAGTTTTGAATAAATGTTTAAATAAAATGTATAAATAATTTCTGGCTAATTTGCTTTTCTTGCTACAAGTAAGATTAAAGTATTCTCAATAACACATTTGACCATATTAGAACTATTCTGCAGAATCTATACATTCATAATCACAGTTTTCAACATTGGTAGTAATGTGTCTTGAACATCAAATCAGCATATCAGAATGATTTCTGAAGGATCGTGTGACACTGAAGACTGGAGTAATGATGCTGAAAATCCAGCTTTACCATCAAAGGAATAAATTACATTTAAAAATAGAAAAGTTATTTTAAATTGTAATAACATTTCACAATATTATCTTTTCTTCTGTATTTTTGATCAAACAAATGCAGCCTTGGTCAACAAAAAAGACTTCTTTAAAAAAAAAAAAAAAACATACCGTTCCCAAACTTGAATGGTAGCGTGTATGCTGCCATCTTTACTAATGGAAACTCCAGTCAACTCCAGCTAATTCTCTGATCCTCAACACTCTGCAGCAGCAGGAACATGAAATCCTGACCCTTGAAAACCCTCTTTCTGTCTGTCTCCAGCAGAGCTCAGGTGTGGTGGGTGGCGTATCGGGCCCAGGCGGGGCGGCGGCACCCCCTGCAGCGGACCCAGAGAAGCGTAAACTCATTCAGCAGCAGCTAGTGCTGTTACTTCATGCTCATAAGTGCCATCGCAGAGAGCAGGCCAACGGAGAGGTCCGCCAGTGCAGCCTGCCCCACTGCAGAACCATGAAGAACGTCCTTAATCACATGACACACTGTCAGGCCGGCAAATCCTGCCAGGGTGAGTGTTGCCACCTATTTATCTTCTTTCAATCATAGTTTATTTTCCCACACATAAACAAGATGATATGGCATCTTAAATGCTTGTGGTTCCTCTGCAGTGGCTCACTGCGCATCCTCCAGGCAGATCATCTCTCACTGGAAGAACTGCACACGGCATGACTGTCCCGTCTGCCTGCCGCTTAAAAGCGCCGGAGACAAAAGAAACCAGCAGTGTGAGTTAATCCACACAAATGCTACTCATCCACATGTCGTTCAAAATCTGTATGACTTCCTTTCTTCTGTCCAACTCCAGAAGATATTTAGAAGAATGTTTCAGCTGTTTTCGCCCATGAAATGAAAGGCACTGGATTCTATTGACTTATGACATTATCATCTTTTATTGTGAGAGCCAGAAATCTTGCTTGTTTGTAGGTGACCAAATACTTATTTTACCGAGGAATTTACCAATTAATTCTTTAAAAATCCTACAATGTGATTTTCTGGATTTTTTTTCTCATTTTGTCTCTCATAGTTGAGGTATACCTATGATGAAAATTACAGGCCTCTCTCATCTTTTTAAGTGGGAGAACTTGCACAATTGGTGGCTGACTAAATACTTTTTTGCCCCACTGTATCTATTTATACGTAACTCAAATATTTTTATAAGAGCTGTTTTTATATGACTAAAACTGAAACAAAAATTGTTACATTAAATACATTTTAACTGAAATAAAATATACAAAATGCGACATTTTATTTCAGCTAGCTATCACGGCAACATTTCTCATTTTCAAGCTGATGTACTTAAATAACTAAATCTACAACTGAAATTAAATTTTGTAAAAGACGTATAGACAAAAACTAAAAACACAATTACTGAAACTAATAGAAAATTTTAATGTAAAATAAAAGCTAATTCAAAATATTAATAAAAAAACTATAATAGAATCTCAGTGATACTGAAATAGTACTGATTTCATTGAATTTACTCTTTGTGAACTCACTCTCCACAAAACTATTTAAAATCCTTATCTAGTTTATCACACAATTTGAAAGTCACGCATAGGGTGCTGTTTAATTTCATGAACTCAGTTACATGTGTCGTGTTTGTGTGTGTGTGTGTGTGTGTGTGTCATGTCGTGTATGTGTGTGAGTAGTGTGCAGGCTATCTTCCCCACTCCAGACCCTGCAGCACTGAAGGATCGGCGGATGGAAAACCTTGTAGCTTACGCTCGCAAAGTGGAGGGCGACATGTACGAATCCGCCAACAGCAGGGTAAGAAAACTCTTGCACAGTCTCATGTCTGTGGATTATATTTGGTAAATATCTAAGTGAATCCACAGAATCACTTGATTCCTCACATTTTACTCATGATGCAGCTGTCACAGTCAAGTGCTGGACAGAGCGCTGGAAAACCTCATCTTTACCAGGCGTGATACGTCCATTAATTTTTCTGTCTTCACTAAAAGCTGCTTGAAAAGCACTTTGAACCGAAACATTGTAAATGTTTAAAATGAATGGTAGGAATGATAGTCCTGTTTATCTTTTCCAGGCAGAGTATTACCACTTTTTGGCGGAGAAGATTTATAAGATTCAGAAGGAGCTGGAGGAGAAGAGGAGAACCAGACTACAGAAGCAGGGTATGATGCCAGCTCAGCCTCGCATGCCCAACTGTGCTCTACCTCAAGCACCAGCTGGCATGAATCAGGCACAGCCGCCTAGTACGTACACATACACTGACCTTAAAGGAATAGTTCACCCAAAAATGAAACTTTGCTAAAAAAATTCATTCATTCTCGGCCCATCCAAGATGTAGATGAGTTTGTTTCTTCATCGGAACAGATTTGGAGAAATTTAGTATTCCATCACTTGCTCACTAATGGATCCTTTGCAGTGAATGGGTGCCGTCATAATGAGAGTCCGAACAGCTGATAAAAACACCCCAGTAATCCACATGACTCCAGTCCATCAATTAACGTCTTGTGAAGTGAAAAGCTGTGTGTTTGTAAGAAACAAATCCAACATTAAGGCGTTTTAACTATAAAGTGTTGCTTCTGGCTAAAATACGAGTCCATAGCTGGAAGCAACGGTTTAAAGTTAAAAATGTCTTAATGGATTTGTTTATTATAAACACAGTTTTTCAGTTATGTGGTTTACTTGTGACTTATTGTGATGTTTTTATCAGCCGGTTTGGACTCTCATTCTGACGGCACCCATTCACTGCAGAGGATCCATTGGTGAGCAAGTGATGTAATGCTACATTTCTCCAAATCTGTTCTGATGAAGAAACAAACTCATCTACGTCTTGGATGGCCTGAGGATGTGTATATTTTTAAATGGACTGTTCCTTTAAATGTAAACCATGTATTACAGTACAAACACACACACAGTTAAATCAGATGATGCTGTTTGTGATGGATGTTCTGGTCTTTCGTAGATGGTCCCCATTTAGATCCGTCCTTAGTTCAAGCTGCTGGACCCAATCAGATGGTCAACCGCATGCAGAATCCTGCTGGTATGGCACACTCACTAAATGGTCTGAAGTTGAAGCAGTTTTTTTGAACATCTATAAATAAATCACTGTGTTTGTGTTTTGTAACTTTTGTGCAGGTATGAATCAGTTTGCCCAGGTGGGGATGCAACAGCCAATGGGACAAAGGGCAACGCCACCCCTGCCTATGGGAGCAAACCTCAATCAGGTAAAATTACCTGTGACCTAAAGAGGGGCAAATAATTTAACTGATTAAGTGTTTATTTAGAGTCTTTATTGTGTATTTTTAGATGGGTATGCAGGGATCACCTCGAATGACTCAACCCAACGTACCCCAATTACAAAACCAGTACATGCAGAACCAGTTTCCAGGCACGGGTGCCGGACTGGGCCAGGGAGCGGTCGGCCTGAACCAACCTGCGGGGCAGGGAGCCATGCCACAGGTCAGCTATTAAAACACATTCTTACCATATTACTCAGTACAGCTTGTTGTCTCTAATGCGTCTAATATGATTTGTCTTTTGGTGGCTAAAAGAGTTTTTCTGTTGTGATCTATCCACCTGTTTACAGGAGGCGCTACTGTAAAAAAGAACTTGGGTACAACTTCCGGTGAGGTGGCGGAAGTAGTATGTACCAATGGTATTTTATAGGGATGCACCGAAATTTCGGCCACTGAAAATGGCATTTTTGGTTTTCAGCCGAAAGAGAAAAACGGCCGAAAATATATGGTGCGCTGCACCGCCCAGCAGTGTTCAGCATGCAGGTTTCACTCTCCCTCAAGCCACTGTCACTGTGACGCTCCGCACGTTACGTGCCGGCAGGAAATTTCTATGTAGTAAACTTGTTCCTGTTTGCAATAGCGCTACTGTATGTAACATGTAACATGGTGTAGTTCAGCTGTACTGGGCAACGCATGTAAAATGACGCTACCCTCTCATTCACTGATCTGCTCCCCGCTATGCTCTGCTCACATGCTCTGATAATACTGAATAAAAATAAAATATTGACATTTAATATTAATATATTTTCTGTCCAATTTTTTGTGTCATTTTCATTAAAAGTCTTACAAAATTACTTTATATTATTTAATAAAATAAGAATGAATTATTACAAAGCATTTTCGGTTTTGGTTTTCAGCCAAGTGCATCCAGAGTTTTCGTTTTCGGCCTAGAATTTTCATTTCGGTGCATCCCTAGTACTTTGTATGCTAATTTTTATCATCCAACAATCTTAGACTAAAGATTTTAAGTGAAGGCTACTGTGAAGTAACATATGCAGAACATGAATGACACACAGTAAACATTTCAGTGTAGTACATTTATTAGTTGATTAATAATATCACAATACAATAAAGTGCCCTTAATGAAAGAATTTTCGTGCCCTTAATTGTCCTTACTTTACTGACCTTCCACAAAAGTGCTGCTGCATGACTACAAGGCCCTGCAATACATGATGTTATCTTTCACTGACGCTAGCACCTTATGATGTGATACGTGTAGGCTCTGGATCGGCTCAATGTCCGCTTTCAGAATCATAAGGTCGTTTCTGACATCCTTAAATAACACCCGACCGACTTTATCAGTAGATACTGATACGCCTCTGAGCTTTTCAAATTGTTCATCGCCTTACCATCACAGGCTAAGTTACTGAATCTACAAAATAGCTAAAAATGCTACCGTACGTGATATGAGGCCATCGTCCCAACCATCTACCGAGGAGGGTAAAGGTACTGTTATTTCACCCTTTTTAAGTTTGTTGAAGTTGTGTTTTCACATCGTTTGCAAGTTTGGATCGCTAAATCTTGAATGACTGACTGTCAACTGTTGAATGAATGAGTGTCACGTCCCGCTTGTTTACTTCGAACCGGAAGACGCTCCCACTTTTGACGCAAGGCCTCATGGGGCTTAGGAAACTTGTGGGTTGTGAAAGACCATATGAATGACTAATGTGAATGAATATGAATGACTAAAATGCACAATTTTAGTAAAAGTACTGTTTTAATGAGATTTAAGCATAACATTTAGCATAATGTTTAGCCACTTTAATGCTGTAAGAATTTACTCAAGTGAATTGCTGAATCAGTTGAACAGATTCTTTGAAATGGACAGACATAGAAAACACAACAAACGTAAGATCACTGCAGTATTCACAATGCGTAGTGTTACAAAACCAACAAAACTATCAGGAATATGTTGTAAATATTGAATACATCGCCCAGCCCTCGATGTATAGTAATACCACCCAGCTAAGTCTCATTTGTTTGTTGTCTTTCTCTTTTAGAATCAGATGCACACTCCACCATCGCTGGCAGTCAGTAGTCCAGTAGCTCAAACCCAGGCAGGAGTCTCTGGCCCCGGAGTCACTGTCGGCCCTCAGGGGCCTCCGTCCAACCTCGCCCCACCTGCTCCGCAGCCCGGATTGCACACGCACTGTCCTCCCTTACGCCAAAACTCCCCTTCTCCTGCACGCAGCCTCACTCCTACCCCTGCCCCACACCAAACGCCCCCGCAGTTGCCGGGTAACCAGACTCCCCAGCCCCACACCCCCACTTCTTCGACCACTATGGCCCCACCCGCAACACAGCAGCCCCCGATGGCACAGGGGGTGGGCTCAGAAAAAGCCAGTCCGCTACAGCAGCAGTCGCATGGGGGCGGAGCCGCTGGAGGCCCCCAAACAGGGCTAGCGTCATCTGTGCCTTCCCAGAATGCACACGGGCTTTGTGCACACCCACACACTCCTGTGAGTATCACAATCGAGAATGTGTTTGTTTGGGGTGTTTTTGCTTATATCTTCACATCGTCTCATAAGTTGACTGTCACTGAAGAGCCTCCATTTATCATTTGTTCTGCTGTGAATTTAGGGCCCTATGATTTCCGTGATGCGGAAAACGCATCAGAATCGTGGAATAGCAAAAATTTTATATACACTATAATGTGAAATGCCATAGAATTTGTCAAAATTTGGATGAATAAATCAAAAGTAGGGCTGTACACTTAATCAAATTACAGTATGAACTAGTGTCTTTGAATATTAAAGCACAAAAAGACTGGCATTTAAATATGTGGTCTGCATGTCTGTGTGAATTAGATTATATTTCTCAAAGTAATAACAGTAATAATACAGTTTATTAAAATATAATTTGTTGGGGGGAATATTAAATTTTTTGTCCATGTTTTAATTTAAACTGTAAACCTTTGTTGTGCAGGACTGTGTTCGCTACAAATGAAACAATTGTTCAAATTTCATTTGATTACATTTTAAAAGACTAAATTGTTGTATGCATTAGATTTACAACCGTTTTTGATAGTATGTATTAAAGTTCCCCTATTATGCCTTTTCGAATATTACCTTTCATGCAGTGTGTCATGTAGCTGTATGTGAACATAAACTATCTGCAAAGCTGTGAAGCTGCTATCAAAAAAAAAAGTCTGCTCGCAATCGCCTAACCGAGTCGTCAGGAATACGAATCTTATTCTGTTACAGCTGTACGTCACGAAGTAACACATTTGCATAATGTCTGCCCACGTTCTACGTCGCCAACTTGCCCGCCCACAAACACAGTAAAATTTCCCTGTGGTTAACATCTTGTCAAGAAGACGCTGTATCCTACGCTGTGAGAGTAAATTTATTTTATCACATCTTATAATTACCACAAGCTTGTTAACACTTGACACTTACCAATGAGAAACGTCCTGCTCCAGTCGTGCTTGCGAATCAGTCTCTTGTCGATCAGCCAGTTCAACCGTTTCATCATCAGACTCCGGCTCGGATTGGTAAGGTACAATTGATACCATCTTTTCTATGTATTGACCTGTCCTCCAGAGCTGTCATTCCGTCATGGCAATGGGTGTTTCGTTTCCGACACGCACTGTACATGGTAGACCAATCACAAAGGACTGCCATCTGACCAATCACAGCAGTGAGGGCTCAGGGAAAGGAGGGGTTTAGAGAGGCTGACACTTTGAACTGCTTCGCACGAGTCGTTTACGAATCATTTAGAAATGAGGTCAAATTAATTAATTTAAAAAAAAATTTGTTTTTTGACCTTGCATGCATGTAAACCTGTTTTAGGAAACTCGTAAAACTATTAGCATCCTTAAAAATTACATAATAGGGGCATTTTAAATATTACAACACAGAATCCAGAAAAAATTTAAACATACACACACAACAAAAACATATATATATTTTAGTTTAATAAATTGTTAAATTCATTTTTTTAATTAAAATTTAATTAATCCATTAAACTGAATCCAGAAAAATGAAAATGGAAAACAGAATTTGGGGAAAAAAGAAATCAAAATCAAAAACTGATTTCACAGAACCAAGGATTCTGTCAAACATGCCCAGCATGAAAGCTCTCTTAATCTGCTGTGTTTTTGCTTTACCTTCATACTCTTGATTCATATTGCTGTTCTTTGTTGACTTTTGCTTATGGGTTTCTTATTTGTTCTTTTACTCTGCTGTTCCTTTTTTCACTTCCGTCTGACACGTGTTCCTACTGATTTTTGTTTGCCATTGGCCCTTTTCCCGTCCCTTCTGACTCATTTCTTATTTGGCCATTTGTGCTGTTCCTTTCGTTTATTTCTCATTGGCTGTTCTCTCTCATTTTGTTTGTTGTTTGCTCTTCTCTCTTAATCAGCTGTTTGTTTGTTTTTGGCTTCTTGTTTTTGGTTGCCATTGGTTGTTCTCCTAATTTGGTGTTCTGTCCCACCCCTCAGCTCTCTCAGAAGTCGTCTCTGACGGCTGACGGTCAGGCCTCAACTCCTGCCTCGGACAGCAGTGCTGACCCTAGCTCACAGCAAACATCATCCGAGCCCACCGCCCCACTCGACCCCAAAATTGAGGTCAAACAGCAGGAAGAAGAGGATGAGAATGAGACGGAGGATAAGGCCTCAGGGAAAATGGCCGCCATGCAGACTGAGATTAGGACTGAGGTGAGCAAAGAGACCTGGATGATAAAGAAAGTCATTAAAAAATGTCTGTTAAATCCAAGACATTCGAGTGATTGATCCTTTCTTTTTGATCTTTATTTTGATTCCGTCCCTAACCTTTTGATTGGTCTGCCACATTAAGAAGGAGGAGCCTGCAGACGATGAATGTAAGACAGAGCCAATGGAAACATCGATTGGGTCGACAGCCGAGGACAAGAAGCCGGAAGTCAAAACTGAACCCAAAGAGGAAGAGGCTGCAGGAACCAACAGCACTCCCACAAACACACAAAGCAAGAAGAAAGGTAAAACAAACTCACGTACACCTTCGTAGATGCGTTTTACACAAAACTCTTTTGGGGTACAGGGTAAATATTTTCCTTTTAATCCTTTCCCATCCATTTTTTTATGCAAGTATAATGTGCTGGGGGGAAAATCCGATGGTAGACTGTCTCAGAAAAGTTAAACATGATGCTTTTTGTTTTAGATGTCTCCATTTTTAATTTGATTGTTATTTACAATGCTTCGTGGGATGTAATTCTATCTTCATTCAAGCTGCCAAGTATACAGGTCAAATAATTATACGGTTTCAAATAATTGTGTGTAATAGTGTGTAATAGTGTAACTGATCTCGTTGGTTTAAGCTGGTTTGTTTGGTTCATGGTTTATAACTCTTAATCAAGGATTTAAAGAAAAAAAGGTCTGTGTTTGGTTAGTGGCACAGAAATTACATGCTTCACCTTTAAGGATCCTGCAGATGTTCTTATATAATTTGCATACAGTCATTAACCAAAGCACCTTAAAAATTTAACTAATTAACTATTTATTGTTATTTTATATTGTGGTTAAATTGATATCAGTTCTCATTGCATGAAATCTACTAATTCTGACCTAGAATCAGCAGGTGCTTGTTCCTTTCCTTAGTTTAATATGAAGGACAAACACTGCTTTGAAATCAGTACTCATGATTTTCATATGATTATGTGCCTGATTCTTGACTCTGCTGCTTCCTTTATTTCCTTCCTCTCCATCAGTATTTAAACCTGACGAGCTCCGCCAGGCTTTAATGCCCACTCTGGAAGCTCTGTACAGACAGGACCCAGAGTCGCTGCCCTTCCGGCAGCCAGTGGACCCCCAGTTACTGGGAATACCCGTACGTATTCGAACTAGTAACAAAACTAACCTGGTAAGGGCCTGCGCTGGCACGCATTACGCTACGAACAACCTAGCACTTTTCAGTTCTAGTCTCATTCCTTTTTTTCTTTTACCTTTACCCCCTCTCTTTCTCTCTTCTGCTTGCTGTTGTGTACATTGTGTTTGAATGTGAGAGACGTTGCAAGCTTGCTTCTGTAGCGTTTCTGTCCGAAAACAAGAGTTGAATATATGGCAGCGCAGACTATGAACATCTGCTTTTGTGGTTGATATGTCAACATAGACAGAAAAGTATGTTAGAGACAATTCAAATCAGGAAAAGCTAAAGTTTGTGATTATCTTGAAGTTGAACCCTGGATTAATGTGTTGATGACGTGAGCTATTTTTTGACCAGCCCAAAACAGCAACTTTGACTCAACCAATGGCGTTTGGCGAGTTTTTGGGATGGGACTATCTTTTTTTTAATTTATTTTTATTTTTTTGTCAACCAATGGCAGACAGGATGTGTTTATAAAACAAAATAATTAGTTTTTAATCCAGTGATCCAGAGGTTACACAATTAAGCTTTAAATAAATTTTTATTTATTTAAACTGAGGATTGTAGTTTTAATATGATATCGAATTGGGCTATGAAACGAACAATTCAGTTATTGATAAAACAGACATAGGTGGAGGGTGAACCAACTCCAGGGTAAGGCTAGAAGTAGCCTAATGTTTGTGTAATCCATTAACTACGCACATCAACCTGTTTTTTGGCAATATGGGTGTCATGTAAAATATTTTTAATAGGACTGAATTTGTATTTAACATGATCACAGTTTAATAAAAACATTGTTAGTTACTAATTATAACGCTTCAGTTTCCACAGTTATTCAAAAAGCAAATCAGTTATATACAGAATGTGAGCAAAGAACATTTACATTAAAGAACATTATCATTGATATAAGTCTAGCATGAGTTTAAGCACTCTCTAACAACACCCGTTATAATCAATGAAGCTGTCTACACTGTATGATAAATGAATCTCTTACGTGCATCGGGTGGTGTAAACGCTCATAGCTACGCTGCTGTAATTTAATATCACCCCGCTTGGACTCGCCTCAGCTTACTGTACCCTAAACGCTAACCCTGCCAACGTCACCCTAGAAAGCCTCAGTTTATTTGAATTTTTTGGCCAAATAGATTCAGGTTGTCCTCCACATGTGAAATTAATCCACTATGCCTGGATTTAAAATGAGTAAATGTTTTCTTAAATACGGTTTCCAAGCTAAAAAGAATGACAGAGCGTGATAATGAATTACAGTCCTAATGGTTAACAAGTGAATCTTATGAAGAAATGCCGGGCTCATATTTGACCCCAAAATTAAAAAACAAAATATATTTTTATATATATTAAAAAAATATATTTTGCTTATTTTTAGGATCTTTTTTTTTTGTATTGTAGCATCATTGTGACAGTTAAGCACATAGAATGTCTTCATTCTTTTAAAATTTATATTAATAATAATATTAATTGTTAAAATGATGAAAATATAATGATAATAATATTACTCATTATCATTATGGTAACGCTTTACAATAAGGTTCCATTTGTTAACTATATATAATATATAAATATATATAATATACATATAAAATGCATAATATATATGTATAAAAAAAATGTAATGCATTAACTAATAAAGAGCAATACATTTGTTACAGTATTTATTCATCTTTGTTAATGTTAGTTAATAAAAATACAACTGTTCGTTGTTAGTCCATGTTATCTGATGCCTATTAAATAACAATAATAGATAAAACTTTTTAATTATAATAATGTATTAGTAAATGTTGGAATTAACATGAACTAAGATTAATAAATGCTTTCGAAATATTTTTCATTGTTAGTTTGTTAACTAATGTGTAACAAATGGAACCTTATTGTAAAGTGTTACCATTATTATTATTATTAATATTATAAATCATAAATTCATTACTGCAAATACTTTCAATGACATTTTTAGCAATATATCATTAGCATTGGGGGGGGGTAATTGTCATGAATATAAAGACAGTGCAAAATCTTCAGACAATGTAAAGTCTTAAAAATGTTTGCATAATTTTTATTATGCAAAATATAATTTTCCTGGCATTTCTTGACATTTTGAATGCGATTCAGCATACTGTCTGACCATATTATGTTCATATATCTTCGCCCACCCCAGTTTGCAAGTAGATGTCTGCCATCATTGCCGCTGCTGGCCCAAAGATTTGTCTGTGTTTTTGTGTGTATGGGAGAACAGGAGAGAAGTAGGGTACAGATTTGAGTGAGGCAGTGGGAGTCTGTTACGTTTTTTCCTCTGTTTGTGCATGTGAACCTCTTCTACAGCGCTCAACATTGTCCCCCTGCACCCTCTTCTCTCCCCCTGATTCTCAACCTGCCGGGCCGCCATCCTTCGCTCTGTCCGACTGCAACTTAATTTCACCTCATGATGATGATGACCTTCATCTGCGATCTGGACTCCGTTCTCCAGGACTACTTTGACATAGTGAAAAACCCGATGGACTTGTCCACTATCAAGCGTAAGCTGGACACTGGTCAGTACCAGGAGCCCTGGCAGTACGTGGACGACGTGTGGCTGATGTTCAATAACGCCTGGCTGTATAACAGGAAGACGTCACGGGTGTATAAATACTGCTCCAAACTGGCTGAGGTTTTTGAACAGGAAATAGACCCCGTTATGCAGGAGTTGGGGTACTGCTGTGGAAGGAAGGTGAGCCGTGTGTTTGTCTCTACATCACATTTGGTTTTGTTTTTTAACTTTTAGATTTGATAAAAGGAACGTGGCTCAACAATCAGATTTCATCGGTTTTAAAGTAACCAGAATATACTACTATATAATACAAAACTTATTTAATAATATTTAGCTATTATTATTATTATTATTATTATTATAACAATTTCAGCAAACAATATACTTAGTGCCTTAAGTGTATTTTAAATACTTCTTCATATAATACTGAACTTATTTAACAAGATATCAATCGTTATTAATTTTAACAATAGTTCAAGCAAGCATGCAATATAATTATAAATACATTTATTAATATTATTATAACAATTTCAGCCAACAATATAGTTAGTGCCTTAAATGTATAATACTACTACTTCTCAAGATGAATTATATTATACTACGATATAATACTAAACGTATTTAACAATATAACTATAATAATAGTAATTACAGCAAGCATGTTAAATGGGAATTATAAATACTTATTTTTATTTAGTTACTTAGTTATTATTGATAAGAAGAATTATAATATGCTACGATATAATACCAAACTTATTTTAATAAATAACATTTATTATTAAAGGGGTCATATGATGCAATTTAAATTTTTCCTTTCTCTTTGGAGTGTTACAAGCTCTTGGTGCATAAAGAAGATCTGTAAAGTTGCAAAGACTAAAGTCTCAAATCCAAAGAGATATTTTTTATAAAAGTTAAGCGTCAGCCACGCCTACCTAAAATGGCTCATTCTAACACGCCCCCACACGTCTACGTCACTATGTGGGAAGATTTGCATAACGCCGCCCAAATGTTCACGCAAGGAAAGAAGGCGTAACTTTTATTCTCGCTGTAGTATTGTTGCCACCGCCGCCATGTCGTGAAGGCACTGTGTTATTCGTTGTGAAAGCGAAACTACTTTGTTTGGCCTTCCAAAAGAGGAGGATATCTGCTTTGTCATGCTTAGAGCTGATCCATGCTGGTTGCTGAGGAAATACTACAACTTCGCTCTGTGGATCACCAGGATCGGCTTTCACTGTGGACGAAGCGGAGTCCAGCCCGGGGTCGTCACATGTTGTTGCTGCAAGCCCTCCGGACGCTCCTTCGTCGAATCCGCCGGCTGCACCGTTCTCTGCTCACTTTAGCCCTCCGGCCGTTCCTCACTCTAGCCCCCGACCTCTGCTCACTCTAGGCCGCCGTGGATCACCAGGATCGGCTTTCACTGTGGACGAAGCGGAGTCCAGCCCGGGGTCGTCACATGTTGTTGCTGCAAGCCCTCCGGATGCTCCTTCGTCGAATCCGCCGGCCGCACCGTTCTCTGCTCACTTTAGCTCTCCGGCCGTTCCTCACTCTAGCCCCCGACCTCTGCTCACTCTAGGCCGCCGCCGCTCACTGTGACGCTGTGTTTCGTTGTGAAGGCGAAACTACTTTGGCCTTCCAAAATGGACACGACTAGAAATCAGTGGTTAAGTTGTATTTACAACACTGTTCCAGAACACATCAACCCAAATATTCAGATGTGTGCAGCGCATTTTATGGAGGACGTTTCCTGATCCTAGTAGAGTAGACTACAATGCCGGCTGTTCTGACTCACAGATTGTAAGTACGTTTTTTATATTTAAAGAATTTGCCACTGATTCAAACGCGAGTTTTGGGCAGTGTAGAGTAGCGCTTGTTGTTTGTCATTTCTCCGATCACAAATGCAGACATGGTTTTATGTTTACGTGGCCAGATGCAACGCAATGCGTAAAAAGACAGTACATGTCATTATAATCAGTGGTGGAAAGAGTACTGAAAAAATATACTCAAGTAAAAGTAAGATGTGTGCAGCGCATTTTATGGAGGACGTTTCCTGATCCTAGTAGAGTAGACTACAATGCCGGCTGTTCTGACTCACAGATTGTAAGTACGTTTTTTATATTTAAAGAATTTGCCACTGATTCAAACGCGAGTTTTGGGCAGTGTAGAGTAGCGCTTGTTGTTTGTCATTTCTCCGATCACAAATGCAGACATGGTTTTATGTTTACCTGGCCAGATGCAACGCAATGCGTAAAAAGACAGTACATGTTATTATAATCAGTGGTGGAAAGAGTACTGAAAAAATATACTCAAGTAAAAGTACCATTACCTTCCAAAAAATGTAGTGTGAGTAGAGTAAAAGTACTTGTCCAAAAAACGACTTGAGTAAGAGTAAAAGAGTAGCCTATTTAAACGTACTCATGAGTATTGAGTTGTGAGTACTGAGCTGTGGATTCTACCCCCTCATAATAAATGCTGTACACCGCAATTGATACATTTAAAAAAACGTTGTACATTCTGTAAGTTTTAATTTTGACTGCCAACACTTTAAAACACATCAAAACAGCACGGAAACAGTATTCAGTTGAAGAAAAGATGAAAGTTATTCTCAGTACAATCATCCCCATTATCATAAAGTTTGAAAAAATTGATTTAAAATCAAATGTAAGGCTACTGAGAGAGCATGCTGTTGTTGCACATAAAATATTAATGTTTAGAAAAGTGCAAATACAAACACCATTAGAAGCTCATAGTTCAGCATCACACACCATGATATGGGTTAAAATGAGAGCCCATTTCTCTCCAAAACGGTGCCAGTTTTAGCGTTTTGCAATAAAGAAATAAAAATAACTAAACTTGATAATTTGTTACAATTCTAACATAAATGCACATTGTTCTAGAATGATGGCATCATGCCATACCTTTTACACATTTACTCGAGTTGTTATGCTGATAATACAATTTGTAAGGAAAAATGCATTAAATAGCGAGGTATTTCTGGGGAAACTTTTTCAAAGGAAAACACACACGTCTCTTTGCTGAGCCGCGGCGGTCTCGGTGAATCAGCAGCATCCACAACTGAATGGAACAAAAAGTGTTGAACTTGAAAATTGTTTATGCGCAAGTGCACTTGCTAAAAGAAGGCGGATTGTATAAAATGAATTTTAAATTTAAAAAAAAAGTTTAACTAACGAGCTGCAGTTTTATTACATCAGGTGCTGGCACAGATGCAGTAGGCTACATTAACGCCACGGGTCATCGATAAGGTGCAGATTTGGTCCTCAATTTGTGTTTCCAACACACTTTTTCACAGCGCGCATCACGCGCTCAAACTCATCAAAAGTCAACAAGTTCAACAAGCAACATCGACTTATCCAAGTGCAGAACGCACGCGCGAGAGAGAGACGAGGCAGCGCAGATCGCACTTATAAGTGAGCTGCACAATTTGATTTGACGAAAGTCACGAGACCTATTACTATCTCTCTAGCCAATCACGTTGATGGATAAAAATAAAATTAAAATGAGCATGTAACGACCACAAACGCAGGAAAATAGCGGAGTAAAAGTACCGATACATCACTTAAAATGCATTTTTAAACTACTCCAAGTACAATTACTGATAAAAACTACTTAATTACTGTAACGTGAGTATTTGTAATTCGTTACTTCACACCCCTGATTATAATCCATAATTATGTCCCCACTGAATGCAACGAATGCCTCGTTTATTATGGGTTTTCATGTTTTTGAATCATCGCTCCGGCCTGACGGCATCATCACAATATGTTAAGGGGCGTAACATTTCCGTCACACGCTTGAGGTATTCGGCCAATCACAACGCACTGGATAGCTGGCCAATCACAGCACACCTCGCTTTTCAGACCGATGAGCTTTGTAAAAATCGACGCGTTTCAGAAAGGCGGGGCATAGAGGAGAAACAATAATGTACAGTATGTGGAAAAATTTTATTTTTTGAGCCTTCAACCGCATAAACGCATTTCATTACACCAAATACACAAAATAATGTTCTTTTTAGCAGCATCATATGATCCCTTTAATAATGTTTTTTTTTATTACAAAAATAATTCTTTAAGGAAGCAATGTAGTTAATATTTGCTTTAAATGCATGTTAATATGTATTATTATAACCACTATTACTATTGATCATTATTATTAATAATAATGTTGTTGTAGTTTTTTCATCTTTAGTCATATTGCTGTTTCCATGTATAAAAGCAGCAAAACACTTATTACAGCATTTTTACAATGGTTAAGTTGTAGTGTTTGGCACATTATGAGGTCGATTGTGGTTTCTTGCTTTAATATCATTATCTGACCAAAACCAATGGGATATTGCTACCCCACTCTCCTCTTCCTCGCTTTCTCTCTCTCTTTTAACCCATCTATCCCTATTTTTCTTCTTTCAAGTTGGAGTTTTCTCCTCAAACTCTGTGCTGCTATGGCAAACAGCTGTGTACCATCCCTCGAGACGCTGCATACTTCAGTTACCAGAACAGGTCAGTATCAGAGATGATATCCACGCTACACACATAGTCACTCGCACCCTTAACTTAATGCTATGCTGTACAGCCACTAAAATATAGACTTATCAGTCCTATTAGAGTAAGAATAACCACTTGAAAGTTCAAAGAGACTTAAATTGGGTCTATATTATGCATACAAACAGAAGCAAATTCTTATATTAATGTGAATAGTTATATCCTAGTGAATGTGGCCTGATGGGTAATTGCCTGACCCCATCACACTATTGTAGATCATTTGCATTTCAGCCTAAAATCAATTTGATGTTGCCTGGCAGTATTAAAAGCACTGCTGTGAAGCAGGCCCAGTGCTAGAATTAAGTATTATGAAAGCTGTTTGTTTTCTGAACACTTTAATGGACACTAGGCTGCTCCACTACATCTGACACATTCAGATTTGGTTTACATTGTGTATTTGTATGTAAAAAGATTGAGGTGAGTATTCTTAAGAGGTCTGTTTTCATGTGCTTTGTAAAAATGTAAATGCTGTTCTGCTGCGAGCACGTATTTCCCCACATCAGGGTGTTGTTGAATTTCAGGCCTGTTGATTTGACGTTCGGTGGCAAAATAGACCACATTTCACATCTCTGCTCTCTTTCTGATTTTAACCGGCCATTTTAAAGAGGGTCTGCATTTTTGACTTCAGTTCTGTTTTGACGTTTTTGTTGATGTTCTTACAATTAACATATTGGCAGGTGTGTTTTGGCAAGTATTTGTAAGTATTACCTCCGTTGGTAGCTACAAGCACAAAATAACAAAGTGCTAATAAGAAGGAAGCACCAAAACGATTGCAGTGCTCTTCCTCTAATGAGTTATTGAAAATGATTGCCAATTTTCTAAGTTGCATCATCTTAGACCCTAACAGCAAAACACTTATTCACCTAGACTGACAAAGACTTTCACCAGAATCAGAGGTTTCAGCTGTAAACAACCATGGGTTGTGCAAAGCTTTTGCATAACTTTGGCTACCTTAGGCTTAATCTGAACCTTACTTTCGTTATATAAAAATGCTACATAAAACATAATGTACGTGTCAAGGTCACATTTCAGCCTAAAATTAAAATAAGAAAATAAGATTTAAATTTTAAGCATGAAGGCTGAATATTGTTTTTTGTTTTTTTTTCCTTCCAAATTCTATTAAAAATAAAATGTTGTGAGATAACGCTTTTATGTTATTAAGTGTTATATTTCAATGTTATTTTTTATTATTATTAAAATATATTCAAAATAAAAGGTTATAATATAAAGTAACACAAGGTACTGGAGTATTATTATTATTATTATGAAAACATTGAAAACTAAATGTTATGACAAAAATATTTGTACTGTTTTCATGTAATCTAACATTAAATTATGATTATTAAAAATCTATTAATATAAAAGGTTGTGATATAACAACACCTTATTTTATAATATTATTATTATTGTTAAAATATATTAACAACAAAAGAGTATGACATATGGTAGGAAAAAAAGAAGCCCATGTGGAAGCAGCCATATATAATGTTGTGTAATATATTTTTATTATTATGTGGCTGATGCCTTTATGCTGCATTTAAAGAAAGACATTTGTAAGATGATCATTTCAGATCTTAATGGTCCTTAATTTTCTTTTATGCAAAATTATTTTGGGGGTAAAATGTGACCTGGATAGGTTTTATGAGATTGACCCAAAAACTACTGACAAAAAAGTACAGTGTTTCAATTTCTGAAAATCAGCTTCATATTCATGCTGCCAACTTCAGGAGGACGTACTAACTGTTCATCTGTCCCATGTCGTTTTGGTTATCGAGTCTTGAGACCCTCTTTAAAATGTCCTGAAAGGATGATGGGTCTCTGTTGCTCCTGTTCTCACTCTTCTCATCCGTTCATTCACTCAGTCCATTGTTGTCCCTTCGCTCCTCTGGGCGTCACGGTTGTTTTAGAGCTCAGCGGACGCAAGGGTGACCGTCTGTGCTTTTGCCTCGGCTTCCTGCTCTCTCTTTCGGTTTAGTTTTCTTCTTCTACATCTGACCCACCCCCTCCACCTGTCCAACACGGAGCTCTTTGTCCCTCATAACGGTTTTGTTTCTCACACCTTTTTAAAATATTCATTCTGCCCTCCTCCCCACCCCCCTTCCCTTTCTCTCCCTCCTTTTTAATGCTTGTGATGTCTGCATTGGTCTGCTTTGATGTGACCAATCATCCGCTCCGAAATTTACACGCAACCAATCAATCAATCTGCCCACCCAAAAAAACCCTGCTTCATGATTGGCTGCTCCCGGCGACGAACCTGCCTTCTCCTGTGTGCCTGTCTCCTGGCCTGCCCTGCCCTGATTGGTGGCTGCTTCCACGTGCCCTCACTGTGATTGGCTGTGCTCTTGACGAACGGTCTAGTTCACCCAAATATGGGCTTCTTGCTGACAGGTACCACTTCTGTGAGAAGTGTTTCAATGAAATCCAGGGGGAGAATGTATCCCTGGGGGACGATCCAACCCAGACTCAAACGTGAGTAACCATGTAAATGTTTGTGTTTTGATCTTCTTCTTCGTTGTTATTGTCGTAATGCTATTCCTCGGGAGAGCGTTTGTTCAGTGATTCTCATGACCCACTCGATTGGGCGGCTTCCTGTTCTCCGTCTCTCGTTTTCTCTCCTCAGGTCCATCAATAAAGATCAGTTTCAAAGGAAAAAGAATGACACCCTCGACCCTGAGCTGTATGTAGATATTTTCTCCCTCCAGATGTGTCATCTCAGTTTGCTTGTTCTGAGGTTTTAGTCAAGATGTGGATTTGCTATCATCATCTGACCTTTGTTTTCCGATCTTCCTCGTCAGACTGTTGGAATGTGCCGACTGTGGTCGAAAAATGCATCAGATATGCGCTCTGCACAATGAGACGATATGGCCGTCGGGGTGAGCTAGTTTTATTTGAGCACACTTTATTTGATATATTCTACTGCTAAATATGGCTTAAAAATGGAACCAGCAGACTATTAGTGAATGTAAGGTTTTTCCTGAGGAAGCGAAACGTTTGCCTTTTTCATTTATCTTTATTTTATGAGGTTTGCTGGGTTTTTCCTGTTAAATACTACCCTGATTCGTGAATTTTATATATCAGCATTAAATTAGCATTAAAACAAGATATCCATTCTTCTAATTAATGGTCAAATTTGAATGTTGTGACAAGATGAGCACTGTAAACATGGAAAATGTAGGACAACTTGATGTCCTTTGTTACTACTACTTTTTATGATTATTACTGTTCCGTATTGTATCTAAGTTAACCACATATTCAGAGATGTGTCGCTCTGTTTCCAAATATTCTGCTCTGTCTGTCTTCCTTTCAATCAGGTTTGTTTGTGACGGCTGTCTGAAAAAAGCCAATGCAACAAGGAAGGAGAATAAATACACTGCAAGGAGTAAGTGGTTAAGAGCTTTAAAAATCTGGGGGGGTTCTCAATTTTTGAGCATCGATTTCCATGCTCGACTAATGAGAATCAAGTATTTTAGTGTAATACAAATATTTAATGGCAGATCTTAACTGAGATCTTGAATTGTCAAATGCTGTAGTCGTTGCATCATTTTAAACTCCCTGCTTTTCTTTCTCTTTATTCCAGGACTTCCTCAGACAAAGCTTGGGAGCTTCCTGGAGACACGAGTGAACGAGTACCTGAAGCGCCAGAATCTTCCAGAATCCGGTGATGTCACCGTTCGTGTGGTTCACGTCTCTGATAAAGTGGTGGAAGTCAAACCTGGCATGAAGTCCAGGTGAGGGACAGTGCAGAATATTCTGGAATATTGTTGTCGTTCCTTTTAAGGTTTGGGAATTTTGGAACTGTTTGCTTCATTTCTTTTGATTGTCATCAAGTAGAGGTATTGTTGTTTGTAGTAGGCATTTATACTACTGGATGCCCTAACTAGTGTTATTTTAGTATCATTTATACACCATTATATAGTATGTGATATTAATATTTTGGATTACCTTTTATTTTCTTATTTTCAGTTTTCATTTCAATTTTAGTTTAACATCATTTTATGTGACTGTTTTCATTTTTTAAGTATTTCTATATAGTTTTAATTTATTTTAATTCAGTTTTAGTCATTTTAAAACTTAATTTTATTTCTTTTAGTTGCCAAGGCAGCATTTCATTTTCATTTGTTTTGAAGTTTGTTTTTCATCTAATATTTGTATTTAAATTTTCAGATTTATTTCAACTGCAAAACAAATTTGAATAGATTTAATTTCTGTTTTAGTTAACAATAATAAAACAGTTTGTCTTTGACTGTTATTGGTGGCCTTCCATAGCTTCTCGTCATAAACGGTCAAATTAAGATGTTCTATTTTGTCAAGAAATCATTTTGAGGGGAAAGTATTTCTAAGGAAATTGCAGCACTATATAATTCATCATATGAACATGAATGATTATCATGAACAACATCAACGATTATCAATGCATGAATCAAACTCTTTTGGAATGCCCATGCTTATCCATATATATTTTTTATGATGTCGATGTATGTGGGCAGATGAATTACTCGCAGTAAACAATAACATCTTGATCTTGCTTGCACTCAACTACAGTATTTCAGTGGAGACTGTTCACGCATCACTGTTGCTCTTTGGGAATTATTTTTCACTCACATTGGTAGTCAATCTCATTGCTTTGTTGCTCATTTGCATAAAGTAAAATTGTTCTAAACTTTGGACATGACTGCATTGCATCACCATCAGTCACTGCTGTGTAAATAGCCTTTGAAAATTAATGACATCAAGGTGTTTTGACTTTGAAAGGCCTTTAGGAGGATGAGAAAACAACATTGGATCAATATATTACACAAACTCGGGTATTGAAAAGTGGATTTATTAATGGTTCTTTGATTCTGCAACTGTAAAAAAATATTCACGTTTGCTTAATTATAAATTCCATTTTGTCTTTTTGAAAAATAAGAATTTTAATGGACACCATGAAAAGATCTAAAGAATTAACTGTTTTTCTTTTACAGGTTTGTTGATAGCGGTGAAATGTCAGAGTCATTCCCGTACAGGACGAAAGCTCTGTTTGCGTTTCAAGATATTGATGGGACAGATGTCTGCTTCTTTGGAATGCATGTGCAAGAATACGGCTCCGACTGCCCTCCTCCCAATCAAAGGTTAAAAATAACAAAGACATACAGTCACACATCTTCAAGCACACACAGAATCTTCCCCCACACGCATGTGGATGACATTAAATAGGGGTCTGAGAAACACAAGTAACTTAGCGATATCCTCTGTCTCTTTCTCTCCATGCAGACGTGTGTACATCTCCTACCTTGACAGTGTGCACTTTTTCCAACCCCGTCACCTGAGAACTGGAGTCTATCATGAGATCCTAATTGGATACTTGGAGTATGTTAAAAAAATGGGGTTTGTCATTGGCCACATCTGGGCTTGTCCACCGAGCGAAGGTGACGACTATATCTTCCACTGCCACCCATCGGATCAGAAGATTCCCAAACCTAAACGCTTACAAGAATGGTACAAGAAGATGCTTGACAAAGCGGTAGCTGAAAGAATTGTGCACGACTACAAGGTACTGCTACAGCTGTACTTCTGGCTGACAATAATAAAAGTTTAGACTTGAAGTCAGCATACTGCAAGATAGTCTTTTCCCTTGTTTGGCTCGTTGTTGACGGCAATGTGCCATCTATTTGAAGTCCTTCACTAACTATTGCATGTTTCTCCTTGCCCAGGACATTTTTAAGCAGGCAACAGAGGATCGTCTGACCAGTGCGAAGGAGCTCCCATATTTTGAGGGTGATTTTTGGCCTAATGTGTTGGAAGAGAGCATTAAAGAGCTGGAACAGGAGGAGGAAGAACGGAAGCGAGAGGAAAACAACACCTCTAGTGAAAGCATTGACGTGAGTGATTGACTCAGATTTGTAACCATTTTGTACTGGGTGAAAACATACTCAAGTGCCAAAGGAAAACATTTGTTGTGCATAATATTTCTACCATCAATAAACTAGGTAACTTTAAAAAGTACTTCAAGAGAAACCGAACACATCAGTAGCTGGGCTTTTAGACAGCTACTGTCCTTTCTTGTTTTTGACTTGATGGTTAAATTAATTCTAGTGAGAGCATTGACGTGAGTGATTGACTCAGATTTGTAACCATTTTGTACTGGGTGAAAACATACTCAAGTGCCAAAGGAAAACATTTGTTGTGCATAATATTTCTACCATCAATAAACTAGGTAACTTTAAAAAGTACTTCAAGAGAAACCGAACACATCAGTAGCTGCGTTTTTAGACAGCTACTGTCCTTTCTTGTTTTTGACTTGATGGTTAAATTTCAAGAGCAGCTGCTTTAATGTGTATTCTTAAAACATAATTATTATAACTTAATGCTTAAAATAGTTTTTTTGACGGTCTAGGCTACCAGTGGTGACAGCAAGAATGCCAAAAAAAAGAACAGCAAGAAGACTAGCAAGAACAAGAGCAGCTTGAGCCGAGCCAATAAAAAGAAACCGGGCATGCCAAATGTCTCCAATGATCTATCCCAGAAACTCTATGCTTCGATGGAGAAACACAAAGAGGTATGTAGCTCCCAAAAACATTTGAACCGTTTGTCATTTACACGTTTGGACTGAACTCACAAATGTCAACACACTGCTTAATTTCAAGGTTTTCTTTGTTATCCGTCTCATCGCTGGCCCTTCTGCCAATTCCCTTCCACCCATTTTGGACCCTGACCCCCTGATGGCCTGCGATCTGATGGACGGACGAGATGCTTTCCTAACGCTTGCACGAGACAAGCACCTTGAATTCAGCTCGCTGAGGCGTGCCAAATGGAGCTCCATGTGTATGCTAGTAGAACTGCACAACCAGAGCCAGGACCGCTTTGTCTACACGTGCAATGAATGCAAGCACCACGTTGAGACACGCTTCCACTGCACTGTTTGTGAGGTAAGAAATGCCATATATGATACTTTGTATGTCTTTGAAGAGGGTTTCTAAAAAATTGTGGTACATGTATTTTAGATAAAAAGACTGAGCAACTTTTGAAACGCCCCCTTCTCTCTTCTTTTGTAGGATTATGATCTTTGCATCACTTGCTACAACACTAAGGGCCATGAGCACAAGATGGAGAAACTTGGACTGGGTCTTGATGACGAGAGCAACAACCAGTCTGCAGGCTCCACTCAGAACCCTGGTGACTCGCGTCGTCTCAGCATCCAACGCTGCATCCAGTCTCTGGTGCATGCATGCCAGTGCCGCAATGCTAATTGCTCTTTGCCGTCTTGCCAAAAGATGAAGAGAGTAGTGCAACATACAAAGGGCTGCAAACGCAAGACAAATGGTGGCTGTCCCATCTGCAAGCAACTCATTGCGCTATGTTGCTATCATGCCAAGCACTGTCAGGAAAACAAGTGTCCTGTGCCCTTCTGTCTCAACATCAAGCACAAGCTTCGTCAGCAGCAGCTGCAACACAGGCTTCAACAAGCGCAAATGCTGCGTAGACGTATGGCCACCATGCAGCGAGCAGGGCAGCCACCACCATGTGGAGGTGGGCCTCCTGGAGGTCTTCCATCACCCGGCAACAATGGGGCCACAGGTCCTAGCACACCTACGTCAGTCGGTACGCAACCTGCAACGCCTCAGACACCCACACAGCTGACACCCAACCTTGCGTCTTTGCCCCAGCCTGGTGTGGGTGGAGTCCCAGCTGGAGCTCCCCAGCAGCCGCCTCAGCATCCCGTCCACCACCAGTTTCAGCAGATGCCAGGTGCAGGTGGGATGATGACCTCACCGCAGCAACAAATGGTTCCTCCGCAACCTGTGGGACAACTCCCACATCCACACAATCAGTATGGTCCCCATTCCACAGGTCCCTCCCCAAATCCACAGTCACAGGGTAAGCCAAGCCTTGGTCCTGCAACTCCTCCGCAACTCCCTAACAACCCAGGCACAGCACCTATGTCCCAGCAACAGCAATCTTCAGGTCCTCCGCCTGCAGCTGTGGAGATAGCCATGAAGATCCAGCAAGTGGCTGATGCACAGCGAAAGATGGCACAGGTTCAAATGCTACACAGGCAGGCTGCGCAAGCTGGCATGATGCCGCAGCACCATCAGCAGCCACAGGGACAGATGGGAGTAGCTCACCCTGGGATTGGCATGGTAGGGCCACCAGGAATACCCTCGCAGGCACAAACATCAGCGAACAGAGTGCAGATGGAACAGCAGCAAGGACCTCAGGGAATGATGGTGGGAGCTGGGCCCATGCAGCAGCAGCCCCAACAGGCAGGTGTTCAAGGCCAGATGCCACCACAAATGCATCTACAGCAGCCGAGAATGAACCCATCACTTCAGCCTCAGCAGCAACAGTGGCCAGGGCAGGGTATGCCAACCCAGCAGAGACCTGCCATGATGGCTCAACCGGGAATGGTTGCAATGCAGCCCCCTCCGCAGCAGCTGCAGCAGCAGCAACAAATGCAACAACAGCAAGCACCCCAAATACCGAATCGAAATGCCTTGATGAGTATGGTGCAGGCTGGTCTGCAGAGTGGCGTAGTAAGTGGGGCAGCAGCTGGCAATCTGCCTCAGGGAGCCCTGCAGGATCTTTTGCGGACCCTGCGATCTCCAAGCTCTCCTCCACAGCAGCAGCAAGTCCTCAACATTCTTCGGTCTAACCCACAACTAATGGCAGCATTTATTAAGCAGCGGGTTCACAAGTATAAAGGTGGCCCCGCTGTACCACAGGGTGGGCCAGGACCAATGGGAGGCCAGCCAGTGAGTGTCAATACTGGGGTGCCCCAGCCTCGCATGCACCTTGGACAGGGTGTTAACATGCAGACTCAAATTTCTCAGCTCCAAAAGCAGCAGCAAATGCAACAGCGACCGCTACTGCAGCAGCAGCAGCAAGTAGCTGCCTTGCAGCAGCAGCAGCAGCAGCAAGTAGCTGCCTTGCAGCAGCAGCAAGTAGCTGCCTTGCAGCAGCAACAACAACAACAGCAGCAACAGCAAGGAATTCAGGGTCAGGGGGCTCCAAACATGGCCAACATGAATCCACAGTTCAGAGATCTGGTCAGAGAACAAACCACAAGTAATATTTTCTATGTCAGGTCCAGGGGAGAACTTTTCCTTTTTCAAGAGATATTTTTTAAGATTTTAAAAGTGGTATAAAATTAAAGCGCAAATGATTAAGGACTTTTTTATATATTGTTTCACCATGTACCAGTCTCTGTTATGTGATTTACGGAGTCATATGGAACATTTCAAACATTGTGATGCCTATATTATTATAATTATCTGAACATCATGCATACCTTCCTTGTAAATTGAGTTTTGCATTTTATTTATTCTAGCTTTTTTATTTTGTTGTCATGATGGATTTTGTTCATGCGTGTTCCCAGAGACTGCTACAGTTCACATAGAATATATTTTTGTTAATACCTATTAAAATGAGGAGCTATTCCTTTACTTAAGCTGGAGATTTAGGTTATTGAGTATAATATAAATTACAGTGTTGGGGGATCGGGTTTGGTGAGCGCTCCGCTGCCGAATGGATCTTATTTCATGCCATATTGGAAATTCCATTGGACATCACTTCTTTTGCAACAGGACAAGTTCGTAGATGCACACACCCACCCTCAGAATGTGTATGCACTCCTTATAAGATGGTTAGTGGAGATGTCTGTACTGGTTGGATGAAAGTTTTGTGTGTATATATATATGTGTGTGTGTGTGTGTGTGTGTATTGGATGTGGTGCTGGAGTTCATCAGCTCATGTGCTCAAAATCATGTTGAGCAGCGTTTCACATATGAACTGTATGGCGCAGTGAAACGATGGAGGAGAGGAGAGCCACTGATTTCAGTTTTTCGTCCCTCTTCAGTACCACTGATTTTCCTCCACTTCCAGAATCTTCTTTGCTCTGAACTTTGGGAGTTTTATTTGAATATTTTGTACTGTACAAAGGAAACACAAACTGTGGACACTTTTTTTTTTCTTTTCTTTTCTTTTTTTAATAAAATGAAGATAACAAGTTTAATTTATTGGTCATTTATTTTTGAGGATCATTTGTATTTTTTTTTAACCATTTGCCTTTCTGCTTTAATCTTTTATATCTCTGTTTGGCAGAACTGCTCTTGGATTTGGGTTTGTTTGGTTAAATGTGTTAAGGGCTGTTAGGCTGGTCATAGTTGACTCATCAGCCAGCTGTCATTGCCAGTTGATGTTCAGACCGATGCTGAAAAACCTGTTGCTCCTGCAAATTATCCTAGAGGTGATAAAAGTGAACTGTACAGATTGCCTGGTGAAGGTATGGTATTTAAGAATCAGCATTATTAAGGTCAGCAAATATGACTTAGTACTGTCGGCTTAGCATGCTTCATAATTTTTTACTAGTAGTTTAGAACATTTAACCTGGTCCGATTGACTAGAGAATATCAACTTGAGATTTTCCTCCTGGGTTTATTTTGTGACGATGACTGGCCGACAGCACTTTGGCTGTTTAACTGAGTATTCCAGAGTGTGTAATAAGGATTATTGGTAACACTTTATTTCGATAGTCCACTTTAGACATTCTATTATCAGTAAGTAACTTTGCAACTACATGTCAACTAGCAGTTCGTAGAGTATTAGTAGACTGTCTGCTTAATATCTTCGAACACTTTCTTTGTCAACTTATTTTACTAACCCTAAACCTACCCTAACAGTCTACTCTGAGAGTTAGTAGACATGTAGTTGCAAATTAATGAGAATTAGTTGACATGTAGTTACAAAGTTACTTATAGTTAGTAGAATGTCTAAAGTGGACTATCGAAATAGTGTAACCGGATTATTTATTACACTGCTCTCTGCTAAAGTCATTCCAGACACACATGACCTTCTCTGCTTCAAGATATGTCATAGAAGTTTTGGTGTGAATTATCGTCAATGACTCTAAACCAGTCGTGACGCATCTTTAACTGCAAGTTTGAATGTACTGGATTACGAAAGAGATTCGAAAGCTACGGCAGAAAGGAAGCAAAAGGGTCTTTTGTCAAATAACGATATAAATATCACTTTGTTCCTAATATATAACTTCAAATGAATTGGACTTCATTAAATACATTTTAAGGAATCTGCCTCAGTAAAAAAAGCAGCTAAATGTCTCAGAATTGTGATTATTTCTTGTAATTGCAACTTCATAACTCACAATGTGAATGTTTTCATACGTGACTTCACATCATGCTACTGTAACATTATTTCTCTCAGTTGCAACTTTCTTGTGAATAGATTTAATATCCCCTAGTTGCAACTGTAACTCACTATGTGATTATTTCAATTTAACCGTCTTGCAATTGGAACCTATACAGTCGCAATTGCAGGGTATTAAGTTACAATTGCAAATCACTATATTTCACTACATATTTTACTCTGAGGCACAAATTGGCTTACACACAAAAAAGTATTACTCCAAAATGAATTCAAATCACCCACAACTTTTATTTTCCCATTTATTTGCTGTAAATACAAGCAAAAAAAAAAAAGTGTAGTTGTCACGTGAGAGCAACAACCGAGCTGACAAGCCCTGTTCAACTATCACCACGACCAAAACATGTAATTTAGGCTCGACTTTGATTTCTGCCATGCTAAAAGCACACCTAAAGCACATGTGTTCAGATGAACAGGATCTACCCCTACGAAAGCATCCACTGTAGCAGTTGTGAATGTAAACCAATACGGTCTCTTTAAAAATGCACAAAGGCCTCCAAACATAGTGAAGACCGCTCAGGTGCAGATATGGAAACAAAGCCAGTTGGCCTTTCCTTTTCCCACATGGTTGTTTACAGGACAAAAGGTGATGTAACAGTAGTTTAGTCTTCAAGTCGGAACTAAAAAACAGTTTCTTCTCATTGTTGTCAATGACTGCTGCTGATGGAAAAGTAGTGGTACAGATACAAAGATTCGCTTTACATGCATAAAGTCTTCGCATACAGCATCACTGAGTATAATCAGAAATGTCGTCCTTCAAAGGTTATTTTACCACAATGACACAAGGTAAAATAATATTTATAGACAATATCTGCTTCACTACTGCAAACTGTATTATTCACTTGGTCTTGACTAAAAGTACATGAATCTATTGTATGTTCTTGGGTTCCTTTGTCAACTTACACCTCAAGCCCATCGCCACTAAAAAAGCCTTCTGCACTCATGGCCTCTTTGAAGGTGACGGTCAAGGAATTTATCGTCACCTGAGTCACAGTGACTTTCCCAGGATGCACTGTGGTGGTGGAGGGAGTCTGTGATTGGTCAATTGGGACCTGTAGTAATGTGCGTTCTGCTGTAATTTCAGCATCCATTCCTTCCTTTTCTTTGGCCTCTGAATGGTCTACCTCACCACTTTCTCTTACCTCTTCCTGTCTACATTTAGTGCTCGAATGTACCTCGATAACCGAAGGTCTGTTCTGTACTTGGTCAAACACAACTTGCTTGGCTCCTGACTCGGTGCTGTGTAGTGATTGGCCAGTGTTTGTTGTGTCATGTGATACCCGTACGGAGTCCTCACCCCCTGTGGTGTTTGTGACTGGCTCGTTCTCTTGTGTGTTAGTGATTGTACTGTTTTCTGTTGCTCCTAAAACTTGACTTGTATCCTCGCTTGGCTTCTCAGCATGGTCATAAATGGAAGAGCAGTTCTCAGTTTCCTTGATGGTGATTACAGCTTCATCTTCTGCCGAAGAGCTGTACCCCTCCGTTGTCTCTTGACCTGAGAGAAAAAGACAGAAACTCAATGAACTTTAAAGGGAACTGTTGAACTAAAACGGAGTTATTTAGTGACTTTAAAGTCATTCCAGACACACATGACCTTCTCTGCTTCAAGATATGTCATAGAAGTTTTGGTGTGAATTATCGTCAATGACTCTAAACCAGTCGTGACACATCTTTAACTGCAAGTTTGAATGTACTGGATTACGAAAGAGATTCGAAAGCTACGGCAGAAAGGAAGCAAAAGGGTCTTTTGTCAAATAACGATATAAATATCACTTTGTTCCTAATATATAACTTCAAAAGAATTGGAAGTGCAAGAGTCGTATGGACTACTTCGTGAAATGTATTTTATAAAATGAACAAATTGACCTGGGCTACATTTCCCAAATGCATTGTAAGCCCAAGTAGATGGTAGAAACCACTGCAGGGCTCTAGACTGCGACCAAAATGGTCACATTTGCGACAATTCTTTTGAGAATGTGCGAGTTGAAATTTGACATGATCGCAAAAACATGCAAGCACCGTCACCGACAGCCAGTTACGTTTTATTTTTATTTTCATTTTGAAAAGCCTGTCGTCTTTGCTGTTTACCTCACTTTACACCATTACATTTTTAAAAATATTTATTTGATTCCTTAGTGTTTGCTAAACGTTCTGTAATTTATAAGTCAATATATAATACAGCATGTGGTGTATGCCATGCCTCGTCTTACTCGTTTTTGTTAATAAACATTATATAAGCTCGTTCGTCGGGTTGAATGTTAAACACTTTTGTTACCATATAACTATAAACTATGATAAAAGAAAAAAACTATTCATCAGCATACATTGATTAAAGCCATGCTGTAGCAAATACATTTAATAAAAATAATAATACTAATTAAATAAAACTGAGAAAGTTAGTCGCACCAGAGCAACCAGTGGGAGTCTATAGAGTCCTGCACTGGCACCAGTGGTCTCTACAATCTACTTATGGTTATGATTTTGTGAAACACAGCTCTGAAAATCTCACGTTTGGTTTTACATCAATGATGATTGAACACAAGACATAAGAACCAATGTTCAAAGCTACTGTCATCAAACTTGACACAACTACATTTAAATGAATGAGATTCGAGTGAAATGATTGAGGGTTACATACATTTTTGACTATTTAAATGAGTCGTTCCTCACACTAAAGGTGAAATGGCTTCAGAAGAGTAGAAATTTCTGGCAAATGTCATATGGACTGCTTTTATGGTACGTTATGGTCCAGGTTTTACGTTTAATGGTCATTCATTTTCATTGTAAGAAAAAGTAACTAAAACAAAACTCTTTTTGTGTTTTGCAGAGGACAGAGTATCTTACAGGTTTTGAATGACATACTACATTGTCATTTTTGGGTGAATTTTGACAGTGGAGTATTTCTCAATCACATTAAACACGTGTTAGCCAGTTGTCACTGTGATTCAGAAATATCTGGCAAGATTTTTCAGAATGGCCCTCGTGACCCCTGAATTATTCAGGGGTCATGAGCGGCCATTCTGAAAAATCAGGCTGAGTATGTTCATTGCAGAGTATCTTAGCAACAGTTATTGTATTGATGCCACACGACACCTACTACTTGGAATGTCCTGGTGCACTTCTGTTGTTTTTTCTTCGTTTTCCCTCATCTTCTTTACTTTGTTCTCCTGCTCATCTTCATCGTCTTCATCCCACTCTTTCTCGGAGTCTTTTGCAGGAAGTGAATACTGGGATGGTTTGATGTCATTCATGAGCTTGGACCTGCAATGCCTGTTCTTGTATTTCTCTATGGGACGGTAGCGCCGCCCATTCTGGTCTATTTCCGTCCCCATGGAGCGGGTGAGTGACAGGCGGATTCTCGGGGTAGGTTTATCTGGAACCTTGTGTTTACTTCGTAGGTCCATTGGGTAGATGCTCTGTTAGAAAGTTGAGATTATGCAGTGTTTATCAGATGTTGCAAATACTGGTTAGGCTAGAATGTTCTTTCTGAAATACTGAATTGTCTTTACAACTGCTGCGATACATTATCTTGCAATCTAGATGACTCCTTTGGTGCACTTACAGAGAATGGTTTTGAACCATGTTCGAAAGAAAAAGTCCATGTGGATGCTATGCCAAATTTGGACAGTGAATCTAAGTTCAGATCCTGGGACACTTTAGTACATCAGATCACTTTTATTATGTGTATCAGATGGTTGGATATATGATATATGAATCGATATAAAACCTTTGGTAGGCCTACTTGTTGTTACAGAAGCTTCATAGAAAGGACACAACAGTTGGATGCGGCTTCAAATATTGTTTTAGGGAAAATAACACACAGTTTGTGCATTACAGGAAAAAAAAACATCAGAATTACATAAGAACTGCTACTGGACATCAAAATAGTAAAGAGATAACTCATACCCGCAGAATAACTCGACGAGGTCTCAAGCCCTTCCTCTTATAAGCCAGAGCTCTTTCCTTCTCCTCTCTGTTAGAAAGAGAGATTTGCAAAGGATTTGGGAGATGGAAAGGAAAGAACATCCCGTTGCCTCCAGCATATTCATCTCCTCATCAGAGTGCGACTTACTTTTCTTCATAGGCGAGGACAAGACGAGGGTCCAGTATATTGTCCTCTGGTTCCCAAGTGCTGTACCTGACAGTCACAGAGACAGTCCCAAACAGATCATTGGAGTAACACATGGCTAAAAGAGTTTTCAAGCGCATATTTTGTTTGCACAAAATTCAACTTTACAATGTACAGTCATTTTCATCTCATGATTTTCAAATACCGGCTACTTTTTGTTTGAAAACCCAATGTATTTATTATTATTTTAACGCCGCATAACATTGTCGTCTCTTGTGGTGAAGAGAAAGGAATAATATGATGCTGTGTTTTGATCCAATACCTATTTTTCCTCATGTTTTACGCAATCTTTATTGGGGCTGGTGAAATGTGACCTTGACATGTTTTTGTGGGATTCACCCACATATTGTGTTCTAGTTGTAGGTTGTATTTTGTCTTTAATAAAATGACTGTATGTTTTTCCAGTCCTATATGAGAACTTACTTAGGCGCCCACCCTTGCCACTTTAGCAGATATTCCACATTTCCCTGAAATGAGAAAGAAATAAAAGAAGTCACTGTCACTTTTAAAGTCGAGAGGGCTGAGGGGGGGGGGATATACCTCACCATTCTGTTTTCAACCAATCCATGACACAAACATCCCCCAGATTTTGAAAAAAAGCATGCCTGTCTCTTTAAGATGTCAACGCGCAGTAGTATTTTGACTTGAAAGATTATGCAGGATGAGAACGGCGCTGCGCTCGAGAATGTTACGGTGCGTGATGTCATAGAGGGGCGAGCACGTGAGTTCCATTTTAAAAAAAACAAAAACAGCGAGTTTCAAGAACATTCATGGGATGGAAGTAGGTGGGGCCATGGAAACGCGTAAACAACTCATTTTGTGCAACCTGAAGCTGCGAAGGTCTTTCCTCCCCTCACGCTGGAGCGTACGAAACGAAGCCCGCGTGCACATGCAGCGGGCTATTACTGTACATTACAACATCTGTATACCACACACACAACAATAATAAATAAATGAAGACCTACCAGTGAGATCAGCTACTTCGTGCGTGCTCTATTAATAAACATGACCTATTTTATTTATCAGCGTAAACAACTCATTTTGTGCAACCTGAAGCTGCGAAGGTCTTTCCTCCCCTCACGCTGGAGCGTACGAAACGAAGCCCGCGTGCACATGCAGCGGGCTATTACTGTACATTACAACATCTGTATACCACACACACAACAATAATAATAAATAAATGAAGACCTACCAGTGAGATCAGCTACTTCGTGCGTGCTCTATTAATAAACATGACCTATTTTATTTATCGCTATTTAAACATCTTTAATCTGGTTTATTCTGCCGTTGGTCTAAACTGGTCCGATTATTTTTGACAACTGCGCGGATGTTTCACGCCTCATCCTTGGCCCGCGCGCGTACAAATGAACTGCGTAGCCGCTAAACGCGGTGATTTTCCGAGCGCAACGCGCATCGATGGCGTTGATGCTGACACGCGCGCTGTTCTCACACGCCCCCCTCCATCTACAGCGCTCGCGATTCAAGCGCGAGCCGTGCGAATATTCACTAACTTTAGAGAATAACATGCAAGTTGCCGCAGTGTTTTGCACACGAAAAGTCATGCAACGAAAAAGTTCAGAAATGTTACGCAAGCTTAGGTGTTATTCACTCATGAGTGATTCCCGAACTGGCAACAGAAGAAAACTGTGCGGACTTTGGTGGTATTAATCCCTTCAAAACAAAGTAAATAGTGCGTGCAGAATACATTGCTTTACATGACCAAAGTGCATTTTTATATGCACCAGCAACGTCCTTACCTTTCTTATCCTCTTCTTCGTGATTGACTCCACAGCAAACACTTGCTCTCCTATTGATGACAGCTCCATGTTCATGAGAGCATCCAGTGCAGCAAACAGTTTCTAATCTCTCCCGTTATTTCTCTTCAGGTGATGAAATATCACTTAACTATTCTGCGCACACTCTTGGAGTGTTTTCTTTTTTAGGATTTAAACCCTCGGGTACTCTTGGTGCACCCCCAGGTCTGCCGCTGCTCCAGCTCTTTCTGAGTTTTAAAACCTGCGACACATGTACGCACTGGCTTGGCTTGGCGCGTGCACGCTCTACGCGCTCGCGCCCACCCACTTCTCCGTCTATGGCAAGCCGTGTTAACATGTATTCTTTTAAAGGGGTCATATGATGTTGCTAAAAAGAACATTATTTGGTGTATTTGGTGTAATGTAATGTGTTTATGCGGTTTAAAGTTCAAAAAACAATTTTTTTCCCACATACTGTACATTATTGTTTCTCCTCTATGCCCCGTCTTTCTGAAACGCGTCGATTTTTACAAAGCTCATCGGTCTGAAAAGCGAGGTGTGCTCTGATAGGCCAGCTATCCAGTGCATTGTGATTGTTCGAATTCCTCAAGCGTGAGACGGAAATGTTAAGTCCTTTACCATATTGTGATGCCTGCTGCAACCACATGTGACGACCTGGGGCTGGACTCCGCTTTGTCCACGGTGAAAGCCGATCCGGCGATCCACTGCTCGAAGTTGAAGTATTTCCTCAGCATTCCCTCAGCGACCAGCACGGATCAGCTCTAGGCATGACGAAGCAATATCATCCTCTTTTGGAAGACCAAACAAAGTAGTTTCGCTTTCACAACGAAACACACAGCGCCTTCACGACATGGCGGCAGCAACAAGACTACAGCGAGAATAAAAGTTACGCCTTCTTTCTTTGCGTGAACATTTGGCCGGCATTATGCTTATCTTCCCACACAGTGACGTAGATATGTGGGGGCGTGTTAGAATGAGACGTTTTAGGTAGGTGTGGCTGACTCTTAACTTTTATAAAGAATATCTCTTTGGATTTGAGACTTTAGTCTTTGCAACTTTACAGATCTTCTTTACGCACCAAGAGCTTGTAACACTACAAAGAGAAAGGACAAATTGAAATCGCATCATATGACCCCTTTAACGAGTAGCCTATCTATTATTGTTATATTTTACTTTGTTATTTACTAGTTAGTCTAATGGTGGTATCCTTTTTTAGTGTCACTAGTTAGTACATTTTCATTTGTTAACAGTACGTTTTTCTAGTTACTGGAAATTATCACAGTTGTTATTAGATGGATACTAGTTCTTCACTAGTTTTATTTATTTTTTAACTTGTCAGATGCACTGTGCAGACTTGAAGAGACTTTATAGGGGAATTGAAAATTTACTAGAAAGATTGAAAATGTTAGTAGTAAGAATTATATTCTTAAAAAAATCAACTATGAGCTATTTTATTTATTTATTTATTTTTTTTGGTTAAACATTTGTACACTTCAGAATATTGAATAATTTTAAAGCAGTTAAATGAATTAAATATACCTTAGGAACTGAGTAAATGTAAGTTAAAAAAAAAGGGGGGAAAAGTAGGCCTACATCTGAGTAACTACATTTGGTACCATGACAAATAAAACTGAGCAGACCCAACAAGTTAAGGTAATGTAAATATTTGAAATAAATAAATAAATAAATGCTAATATTGATGAGTAATTTGCACTTGTTTCCTCTAAACCTATATACTCCATAAAACTACTGGTTTAACTTTCCTTATTTTCAATGAGTGCAATTATTAATACAACATACTTGCATCATTTAAACATGTATAAAATACTGCTTACATGTAAAATTTGTTTAACAAAAATTTTAGAAGTAAAAATGAAACAATCAAATGCAATTCAGGCAGAGGCGTTTGCCCGTTCAAACTGCACATGCCCCCTCAGATTTTTGAGCCAAGTGGGTTTATGAATGCAGCTTCCAAAAGACAAAAGAATAGCCGAATAATATTTTTTATATTTCATACAATCACACGAGCGTGATTAGAACATGCAGTGTTGAACAGCATCAGCTACTAAATTCAAATCTGCGTTTGCTGTTTGGCTGGCAGACGTGTTTTTACAGCTCTGCGCATTGTTGCCAACTCTCGCAAGATTAATAAGCAACAGCAGCTTCAAAAACAAGCCCAATATTTTTTTTGATGATTCATTATCGTCAATATTATTTATTATCAATTATGTATTACTAATAAATGAGCCTGCAACATATTAAACTGAAACCACCATTTTATCTGAAAAGCAAAAACAGAAGTTATTTTACAAAAATCAGCAAACTGCAACAAAGTGGGAACAAAACTCCAATCTCCAATCCAAGGTTATTATAGTTTTGCATTTTTAAATTGCAAAAGTTTCCTTCATAATTGTGTTGGTTTTTATTTTGTGAACACATTTCTCTTTAGTTTTTATATCGTTTAGTTTCAGTTTTAGTTTTAGTAGGCTAATTAAAGTTTAGCAGAATTAACAGATCACTTCCAGAGCACAGGCCGAAGAAATACTTTGGCTAATTTAACCTTTAGTGATGCACACGTCTAGGGACACAAAATTAAAGCATGCTGAGATTGATTATTAGATGGTAAAAGTATACAGATACACATCAAAATGAAGCAGTCATGCATTTTTAAATCTACACAAGTTGCACTTACATTATATTTAAAACGTACTACTGAATGATAAATGTGTGTAGCTAATTTCTTTGTATTATATGTCTTTCATCTTATTTAACCATAATCATGCTACCATAACTGTCCTGTCTTGCTCACTTTCTCGCGAACAAACGCGCATAAATCATAAGTGGAACTTATGAAATTCAATAATAATGTTAATTTAACATTCGATTTGCAGCATAGCTGAAGTGAATGACAGCTTAGAGAGCGCTCGTTGCTGTTTTCTGTAGCCTATGCATCATTTTATTTTTAGTGGTTCTGTAAAGGACTAATGGCCACAGTTAGAGTTTAAGGAGAGACAATGACATTTAACAGTAAAGGCATATTTAAATATGTTCTTTTCTTTTATGAAGAATTATAAGCGCGTAGTTTATGCACATTTGTTCAAAACAGCTTTTGGCGTCGCAAGATGTGGGCAAAAGCTTTTTATGGTTTACAGTAAGGATGCGCATTCTTTGTTCTGTTGTGCTGCTGGTCTGTTTTTCTTCAAAGCACCAACTTAAAATGTCTATTGTGGTTTGATTGCTTGTGTTACATGAGAAAATAAATAATTTTGCCTTACTGATACAGTAGCCAATTTAATGCGGGCGCGGTTCAGGTCACGGTCTTTATGTCAAACGGGTCGGGCACAGAATTAAATTGGTGCTGCTGTCGGATAACGGGTCGGGTTATGTACTTCGGATGCAGGTTTACCAAACAGGACCCGTGCAAGACCCTGCTTTAAACTCTCCGTCAGATAGCCTCACCTGTATGATGCGCCATTTACAGGTATTTCCCTAAACCCACACACAGCTCATATCTTTTTTCGCCATGGGGTGAGAACCTAATGACTATGAAAACGATTATATATTTTTGATAATTATTATTTTATTTCAGTTCGTTTTGCAGTAACTGTTGTTAGTTTCGTTTTAGTTTTTCATTTATTTTGATGTTTTTATTTTATTTCAGTTTACGAAAATGTTTTTTGACCAATCGTTTTCGTCTTAGTTTTCGTTTTCGTTTACGAAAATAACCTTGCTCCAATCACATGTGAGCAGAATAGGATTGGATAGATGGAAAAGGAGAAAAACACAAGAGCTTCAAAGGGGAGCATGCGCATTCTTTGTTCTGTTGTGCTGCTGGTCTGTTTTTCTTCAAAGCACCAACTTAAAATGTCTATTGTGGTTTGATTGCTTGTGTTACATGAGAAAATAAATAATTTTGCCTTACTGATACAGTAGCCAATTTAATGCGGGCGCGGTTCAGGTCACGGTCTTTATGTCAAACGGGTCGGGCACAGAATTAAATTGGTGCTGCTGTCGGATAACGGGTCGGGTTATGTACTTCGGATGCAGGTTTACCAAACAGGACCCGTGCAAGACCCTGCTTTAAACTCTCCGTCAGATAGCCTCACCTGTATGATGCGCCATTTACAGGTATTTCCCTAAACCCACACACAGCTCATATCTTTTTTCGCCATGGGGTGAGAACCTAATAACTATGAAAACGATTATTTATTTTTGATAATTATTATTTTATTTCAGTTCGTTTTGCAGTAACTGTTGTTAGTTTCGTTTTAGTTTTTCATTTATTTTGATGTTTTTATTTTATTTCAGTTTACGAAAATGTTTTTTGACCAATCGTTTTCGTCTTAGTTTTCGTTTTCGTTTACGAAAATAACCTTGCTCCAATCACATGTGAGCAGAATAGGATTGGATAGATGGAAAAGGAGAAAAACACAAGAGCTTCAAAGGGGAGCTGTAACATAGCCACCTATTTATAGCCTACTAAAATATAGGCTATTGGAACCAAATGTATTTACTCTTAGTATTAGTATAGGACAATTAGTTTTTTATTACAGCCCATGATAATTAATACATTACAAAAACAATGTAAAAATCAAAAATTAGGCTTAAAGAAAGTCATCCCACTCCTCTACGTCTATCATCGCTTGGATTACAGATTCATGTGCCTTCTTTTTGAAAGTGATTTTTCTCCAATGAAGGGGAGGAGGGGGCGAACATTTGGCAAATTACGCTGCAGCACTTTTATATTATTGCACTGGTTGGCTATTAACTGTGAGCAGACAGAGTGTCAATCAATGCATTGGAGAATACAACCAACATAAAGAAATTAAGTTGCTTGATTTCCCTAACAAGCAACCATATTTTTTAAAATAAGCCCAAAAAACCGCGACCCTGGATTTTTTCACGCTACTTTACAAAAAAAGAAGCCCAAAGTCGTGTATAATATGCGGACTTGGCAACTCTGATAACCAATATATTATAACCAATCACACACGATTCTGTTGAGCTTATGAATGCAATAGCCAATCAGAGGCGTTCAGATGAGTCATCGCTGAAATGCTGGGCTGCCTTAAGCCCCGACCAAACGGTGCAAAATGTTTTTTAAACGGAAACGGTGGTGCGTTGAACACCCTGTTCTGATGACGCAAGAGTTGCAGCTATGGCAGCTGAGAAGGCCATTCTTTGTGTTCTTTTGGAAGAATTTTCGGAGCCTGATGAAATCGGTATAAATACGTGTTTAATACTGGAAAATACGCTCGATGATCTATACTTGTGCTCTTATTATTTCAGTTATTTTGCCTTTAATGTAAATAAACATGTG